TTTCTTAGAAACATTTTTTTACTTCGCATAATTACTGTACATGGCATAAACAAAAGTACATCCAATATACAACTTCAGCGCTGCGTTACTGTGCAGCATGTATGCACAGAAATACATTTAAATTAGAAAAATAAAATCTGTGCTAATTTTAGGGGCAAAGCTAAACATTTAATTATTTACCATCCATTTATGTTATATAAATATGGTTTAAAGTATGGCTGGTTTATATGGCCAGTGCTACTCTAGTGCAGTCTGATTATGGGTTTCAGTCTAAACAAAAGTCTAAAAAGCATTTCAGTGCAGAGCAAAGCTGTCCAGAAGCTGCGCTGTGCAGCAATACTGTCTGCCTGTTAGAGCAAGAATGATAAAGTGCTTGTCAGTAAAGTTTAAGGGTTTAAAGGAATAGGCTGTTGGTCACATCTGTATCACATGGTCAGAAACCACAGATTTAATTTCAATGTTTCCTTGTAGTTAGAAAAGAACAAATAACCTGTTGACTCAAACTCATTTATAATAGAAGCCAAACCGACAGGTTTTTTTGGTTCTTTAAAAGGTCTTTTCTTTAATTTTGTTCACTGAGGTTCACTTATAATGTTTTATGTATCAAAAACAGGCAAAATTCATTTATACATGACCATTTTCCAATCTTTCTTTATCCTTTAAGGCTGTTACACACTGAAAACAACATGAATAAACAGGTGTGACACTCTTTTTGGGTAATTTGGCGCATTGTTCACATGGTGAAAAAAACAAATGGGTGGAATATCTTTGAAATGGGCAAGCTGTGACATTAAGCAGGGTGCTTCATTTTGGAAAAAGAGAATGGAGAGAGATTTTGGAGATGCACCTCCACACATGACGAAGCACATAATAAATGGGTGGAATGTCTTATAGTGCAAAAAAATATATCCTTTGCTCCTTGCAGAACGGGCAAACTGGGCTACTTTCCATTCTATAAAAGTGAATTTAGTATGGAGAGCTGAATCGCTTCATTCAGAAGCTGAAACTTTGAATGCTTCCACATATTAAATGGATGTTTAGTTTGAGCCCCATTTGAGCTTTTGGAGATTCTAATCTTTTGATGTGTGCGAAAAAGTTCCAGTAACTGGGACACAATCTGTCATCTTGGCTGTTGCCATGCCAACACCAGAGACAACAATGATGACCAGTGAGTTCATAACGCCAACAAAAGGTCATAACAGGCTAACGGAGGGGCGGATTGAATAATGTAGCATTTTCGCCACTTGAAAAATTGCATTTGGTGTGCAAGCAATTGTCAAACGTGCTCAAAATTTTTTGTTGTTTAATTAAATCCCATGAATAATCTGCACGCTGTGTGTAAACACCTTTAGAATTAAACAGGCCACTTTCGCTTCTGTGCCTTTAAGACTAACTTATGTATATGAGTTTTGTTCTGATTGGTTGCCTCATTTAGAAAGCAGTCCGGGCTAAAAAGCTCCTTATAAGTTCAGTGTGAAAGGGTGGAACTAAACTGCTGTAGACCAAGTAAGGGATATATGCAAAATGAGTTTTTTCTTATTACATCACAAAAACACTGAATTTTAAATGGTCTGTTTTTGTAGCTTAATTTGCATGTATGGACTGTATGGACTGGAGTACATCTTGAAATGTTTATATACTAAATCAAGAAAATCTGGTTTTCCATGATAGGGGCCCTTTAACAGAGAAATTACTGTCTGTGGTAATTGACCGTATAAAGCAGATGCGAAAGAGATTAGGTTCAAGTACACTGGAGGATTTCTTTAAAAGAGAATTCCAGCATAGACTGGAAGGCTGCGAGGCTGGAGAGAGAAGTGCATTCTGGGAGCTGGAGTCAATAACGCCTATGAGAGCGGGTGCGGTTTTCAGCTGAGCCGGTCTGATACCTGCGCTGGGTGGCACCCAAAACCTCACTTGTCTGGGGAGACTGGTTCTGCAGGGAGAGAGAGAGAGAGAGAGAGAGAGAGAGAGACAGAGGAAGCGAGAGACAAAGCATTAAGAGAAAAGATGGGAGGTTTTACTAGGCTGAAGAAAATTAGGACATACTAGTATTACTTACATTCGCAGAGTCCAAGGCAAAGATTCCCTTCAGTGCTGTGTTTCCTGCAGTCATATCTTGCACATCTGTTCAATGCAAAAAAACAGATTTGTAAAACATTCTAATGGCTTACTAAAATATCAGGTCCTGTAAAATTAACTGAGAAAATATCATCATCTGTTACTGTGCACCTACACTGTATGGCCAAAAGAATGTGGACACCTGACCGTCACACCTATTTGAGCTTGTTGGGCTTTAAATTCCAAAACCATGGCCATTAATATGGTCTTGGCCTCCTTTGCAGCTATAACAGCCTCCACACTTCTGGGAAGCTTTCCACAAGATTTTGGAGTGTATCTATGGTAATTTGTGCCCATTCAGTTGACAGAGCATTTGTGAGATCAGGTACTGATGTTGGACGAGAGAGCCTGGCTCGCAGTCGATGTTCCAATTCATGCCAAAGGGGTTGAGGTTAGGGCTCTGTGCAGGTCACTGGAGTTCCTCTACACCAAACTCATCAAACCATGTCTTTATGGACATAAAGAACTGCTGCCACAAAGTTGGAAGCATACAACTGTTGAAAATGTCTTTAAATGCTGTAGCATTAACATCACCCTTCACTGGAACTAAGCAGCCCAGACTCTAATAAACAGCCCCAGATGATTATCCCTCCTCCACCAAACTTTACTGTTGGCACTGTGCATTCAGGTACGTAACGTTCTCCTGGCATCCGCCAAACCCAGATTCGTCCATCAGACTAGCAAAGAGTGAAGCGTGATTCATCACTCCAGAGAACATGTTTCCACTGCTCCAGAGTCCAGTGGTGGCGTGAACTACACCACTCCAGCCAAGTCTTGGCACTGAGTAGTGATCTTTCATGAAGCTCCCTATGTACAGTTCTTGTGCTGATGTTGCTTCCAGAGGCATTCTGGATCAGCACTTGGCGGTGCCGCTCTGTGAGTATGCATGGTCTTCCACTTTGCAGCTGAGCTGTTGCTGCTCCTAGTTGTTTCCATTTCACAATAATAGCACTTACAGTTGACTGGGGCAGATCTAGCAGAGCAAACATTTCAAAAAACTGACTTGTGGCAAAAGTGGCATCCTATGACTGTGTTAAATGTCACTGAGCTCTTCAGTACGAACCATTCTACTGCTATGTTTGTCTATGGAGATTGCAAGGCTGTGTGCTTGATTTTATACACCTGTTGGCAGGGGGTGTGGCTGAAACACCCAAACTCAATAATTAAGCAGGGTGTCCACATACTTTTTGCCATATAGTGTATATAGTGGTGCTATAATGTAGGTGGTGCCAGAGTGGAAGTATAAAGTAGGGGGTTTCTAATAAAGTGAAAGACGTGTTCTTTAAAAGCATTTAATAAAAAAGCACCACAGCTACAGGGCAGATTTTTCGGCAATATTAATGCAAACACATGAAGCTTACACTGCAGCCGGTGGTTGAGTCTGTCGAGGGACTGCAGTAGTCTCTGTTCCTCAAGAGAGAGAGCACTAAGGCCAAACGCCTGTCCACGCTGCTGCTGCAGGACCACCCCGGCCCTCTGCAGCTGAGATACATCCACAGCAACCTGACCCTCACCGTTCATCACCTCTGGAAAGAGCAGAGAGAGGGAAAGAAGCAGACAAAGGAATGAAGCATATGTTCTTTACCCATTCGGCAGTTGATCAGAGGGATTCAACTGTTCAGTTAATTCAATAAAGCTCTAATATATTGATGTTATATTTTAAAAGGGTATAATAGTGCAACATGATGGATCAGTCAAAAGGTGGCAATTCAGCTGCATTCATTGTAAAACGTGTAAACATCCTCCAATAAAGAAAGCTGTTTAACTGCCGATATCCCACTGAACTGAGCGTTTGCAAAATTCTAAGATAGCTCCGCCTCCCCTTTGTTACTGTTGCCATGTTAGTCAAATTTTCAGCTAAGGCTACCTGACAGCATCCATAACACTTGGGCTGGCTTCACATGATGAAACTTTCATGCAACTAGTTGCATGTTATGAGTTGCTTGCAACATAATTTACATGCAACTTGACGGTTACACAAAGCAATTAAAAAACAAGTTGCATGCACCATTACTATACTAGACAGAGCAACTTGTATTTTTGATATGCCATATTTTTTTGCTATAAAGTCTTCTGGGAATTGTAATTTACATATTTGCAGCATTTTAACACATTTTTTTCCAGGTGTCAATAACATTGTTTTTTCCATATCTACACAGTGTTTTCTGTCTTATGTGTCTTATCTATCTATTAGTTCTTTACTGTATATTTGAGTATTTAGATGTTGTGTGTGTTTTAAGCCTTTGAAAATTCATGTTCAAATTGTCATTACAGTTTTAGCCCACTTGATGTCTTCCTCATCAAGAACTGCATTCCGCATCGTCTGTAATCATTTAATTACAGATGTGTCACTGCGGAGTCTCCTTTTCAATCGCTCCAAAAAACATCTTCTGTTTTATTTTCTTGTCCACTGACAATCATGTTTTTGATGTTCTGATTTGCTATTTCATGAAACTTTCATGAGACTGTTGTGGCTGAGTTGCAAGTGAGTTGCAGGGTGCTTTCCATTTTGCAAATCAAGTGCAATTTAGTTTCATGTAGGTTACAAGCAACTAAAGCTGGATGAAAGTTTCGCAGTGTAAAGCCAGCCTTGTGCTGACACACTGAAAAGTTCAGTAGCACAAAGGGATTCTGGTTCACTAGCTTTAGAGCAGCCTCCAGTCCTGGCAGGCCACTGCAGACTTCAGCATCCTACCTCATTAAACACACCTGATTCAGCTCATTTAGCTTAGGCCCGGAAGGTCCCCTGTTTGACATGCCTGCTTTAGAGGATGTTTAGTGCATATATATATATATATATATATATATATATATATATATATATATATGTTTGAGAACTGACAAAATATGAATGTAGGCCAATATAAGACAAACTGGAACCTGAAAACCATTTTTACCTTAATCCAACCGGAGGAAAAAAGCATGTGTGATAAAATAGAGGCTTTAATGACGGAAGCTGTCCATTCAGATGAGCTAATGCTAAAGCTAACATTAGAACTAGTCAGAGAAATGTTAGATCATAAGAAGAGCTTATCTTTTTAAGAGATCATTGAACTGTGAGTTTGATCTTCCACAGAGTTTAATCAAAACATTCTTCACTAACACCTTTCCTCCATTTCTTAGCCTAATAACTCAAATTTACTGCCACCACCGTTCTCACTGCAGATTTGTTTAGAGGAGTTCTTCCTTTGCCTGATGGAGGAAGGAGTGCTTAGAGATCTTTGTGATTGGCTGAGAGGTGTGTCAATCATAATTTAGCACAAAGTCAATTTTATCAAAATAATCTAATGGAATTAAATCGTGGTGTATGAATCATACATTATGAGTTTTGAGATCAGGTATTGTTATCTCTGATTCAGGGATGCTGCATTATTTTGAAAATAATCTATTTAATAGCTATAAAAACCTCAACAAAAGGAAAATAATACCAGTTCCACCACACATCATACACAAACTCAAATATGGCATGTATTAAAGTCTATTTTATTCAAACAATAGTAATTTTCCCACAAAATGACCACTGTCAGCTGAATAATTTGGTTGGCTATTCTGAATTAGTCTAATTAATACAATGACTCATTTTAATCTGATCTTTAAGTATCATCTTAGACTTCTTTTAACTGTAAAAATACATAAATAAATAAATAAAAACACAGGAAGTGGGTGATATTGTACAATATTGTTCACCGTGGCCTATTAGCAAATGCACAATTACTGTTTATTTGCTGAATTTAACATATTGGAAAAATAATAAAACATAAAATGTGGCCTAAGAGTTTTTAGAAGTTTGATATTTTTTACAGTATGTTAAACACAGACAATAAACACAAACTGTGCACTAAAACTGGCAGATTTTGCCATATTTAAGTATGTGCTAACTTATTTTCTAACTATTTTTAAACTTTTCAATCAACAGAGCACGTATTTGACCAGGGACGTGCAAACTTTTGCATACGGCAGTATATCAGTATATACAATACCTTCGTCATGCACTGTTTGGTCAGTTTTGCTTGAGTACAGGCTTATTGGCACCGTAGCCTAGAGGATCAAAAATAGAACAAGCATAGTGGGTTGAACACAATCACAAACCTACAAACATCATATGAAGAAGTCTCTCCACTACTGCAATGAGGAGATTGCTGAAAAAGGAGTCTCTTTATTGGATACAGTCAAACTAGATGGTTTTGCTGTAATTACTGTAATTATGATCCTTTTATCATAATCCACTTGACCTGATGTTTGTAGTGTTCATGGAGCACCTATTTTTTATTCAAGCACAGTACAAACAGGTAAGCAGTCTATACACCTTAAATACCTGGCACACCTGTAAAAGCCCAGTATACCTGATAAAGAAAATGTTGTTTCCGGTCTCCTCCGGCTGCGGCTTGAACTCTGCCGTGATCCACATACGCTCTGTTTTTCACCATATTACTCTCCACAGTGGGTCTTCTCACTGGAGTCCTCGCTGATTGACACACCACAAAAAACGGAAATGCGCACTAAGAAAGATCCCTTTTCATCTCATAATTAGGCATGCGTCAAGTTCTGAAAAGACCCTTTCACCTCCAAGAACAACTCCAGGTCAGCAAATAGCATTCAAAAGAAGCAATGTTCCTAAAATAGCCTCCTCAGTTCCTGCGTTAAGATCACAAGCAAGAAACTTATTGTGTAGTACAGCTGGCCACTGTCCTAAACGTCCCAAACCAACCTGAAATGGTCAGTTTACAATAAATCACCAGAGACAGATTTTTGGGCCGTGTGAACTCGGAGAGTTCCTGAAAGGATGCCTTTGAGAACACTAGTAATATCTCGTGGTTTGAACCTTACCGTTTGAGGGGGAGAGGAAAAAGCCGCCCATTCTTGTGACAGCTTTGACGCCACTGAGCAGGCTATCACCGTTGATGGTAACATGGGACAAATTGGCACGGCCTTGAGGCAAAGCAGACAACGAGCCATTGTGAGTCAGGAAGCTTCGAGGGTCACCTAAGTCAATTTAGAAAGAGAGCGAGAGAGACAGAGAGAGAGAGAGAGAGAGAGAGAGAGAGAGAGAGAGCAAACACAAGATGAGAGTTCAGGGGAAAAACATAGCTTCATTATACAGTACTGTGCAAAAGTCAGAGACCACCAAAAAAGTAGAATATAACATATTTCTTAGTATTTAGTGTAAAGTTCAGTCTTCGAAGTTGGTTGCATTTTCTCATTCTCACAATGTTCCAGCATACATTTTCTTCTTTTTTGTCTATTTCCTATTCTCCTTTTCTCAGTGAGGCTTATTGACAGCTACACATCCTTTCAGACCCATAGCGCTGAGTCGTCTTCTCACTGAGGGATGGACAGAAACACCTGTGGATGTTTTCAGATCTGAAGCAGCTTGATTTTCTCCTCTGTCTCAAAGATGAAAGCTTAAAGTGCTGTTTATCTGATGGGGGCAGTTTTGGTGGTCTTTTGTTGGTTGTTAGAGTCCCATTTTCTCTATTTTTGGACTTCAGATTTGGAAAAAAACTCTTTTTTCACTTATTTTCCTCGGACTTTCTTCTTTTTATGCAAGTGGGTTATTTTATATCTGCTCTCCTCAGAAACATCTCCTGAAAAACGAATACTTAATAGTTGTACTTTTTTGGCTGTTTTGACTGGATATTAAATAAATAAAGGGTGGTCTCTGACTTTTACACAGCACTGTATGTTTGTATGCTTCAACAAAAATCAAAAGTTCCTTAAAGGGGAATCTCACTGATTTTTAAAATTTTCTGTATGATTAAATACTTAAAATATAAACAAAGTAATATGGAGTGGTTTGGTGCAAAATGCTCCGTTGTAGAGAAATTTACCAAGTCAGAATCGTTCACAGCGGTGGTGATAGGAACCAGACATCTGAAGAGTTTAATGGCTGCAAAAAGTTTCCTCACAGAAAGCTGTTGAAATGATTATGAATACGCTGCCTGATGCCTGACATTGTTTTATTAAAGTTTTGTGAAGGTTTTGGACTAAAATGTATTTTTTTGTTGCAGAGCGGTGCAGGCAGTCATGGGCTGGAGGTTAGGGAACCAGCCTTGTGACTGGAAGGTCACCGGCTCGATCCCCTGAGCCAACAGTATGTGACTGAAGTGCCCTTGAGCAAGGCACTTAACCCCCAACTGCTCCCCGGGCGCTGCAGATAGGACTGCGCACCACTCTGGGCAAGTGTGCTCACTGCACCCTAGTGTGTGTGCATTCACTAGTGTGTATGTGGTGTTTCACTGCACGGATGGGTTAAATGCGGAGGTGAAATTTCCCCGTTGTGGGACTAATAAGGGTCGCTTAATCTCTTAAGGCAGGGTGCTGTGAGGCAAAATAGCCCCCAAAGGAACCCTATTTATCAGATTAACCACTATTTTACCATCAGCAACATTACACATATAACCTCAGAAGACGTGTAGGTTCACTGGTAGTTTTGCATAGGAGATAAAATGGCTATGTTTGTGCTGTAGACATCATGACCCCTGGCTCCTATCACACCCACTGTAAAGAAACTGGAGTCAGTTAGTTTCTCTGCAATTAACCATTTCATATTCAACCCACTCAGAGTGTTTATGTCCCAGTGACTTCATTATGCAGAATTTTGAAAAGTAGGTGGAACTCCCCTTTAACTCTAACATAACATAAAAGCACTTTAAAGGAATAAAACCTCCATCATTATATGGATCCATTTCAGCGAAGCAGTGATCCCATAAGTGGTGCACTGCTGTACAAGGGGCCAAAGCAAACAGACCCGACTGATCCAGCTCTGAAAAGAACTTTTCCCAAAGACTCTAGAAAAATACCCCCAAAGAATCTTAAGCAAAGCTGCTGAACATGCCGACACACAAAGAGCGCTCAGTTCCTTCAAGAGCCTCCCGCCTGACTATATGATGAGGTGCAATGAGAGCCCAGGGACAGGCAGCAGATTGTAAGTCTGTTAGTGCTGTATTATGTTGCTGGAATGTGCCGTATCTGCAGTGAGGAGAGGACGACTCTTTTTTTCAACAACAGGTGAACACTACTGTCTGGGTCTGTTACAATACGAGTTAATTTGGCCTAAACTTAAGCAAAAATGGGGTCAGTATGTAAGGTTTCTGAACATTTGTAAATTACACAAATCTATAGTAACATAGCATATCACTGCTGTCTGAAGAAAACCTTGTACCTCCATTTTTGTCATTTTTCAGTTTTTGACATAATTTGAAAATGGCTGTTGCTCTTTACATTGTGTGTAAATTTCATGATGAATGGACTAAAAGAAACAACCCAAAATTACTTGGAAAAAATTCTGGTTCCATTGACTTACATTAAAAGTAGAGCATGTTTTTCCTTTTGCTGTAAAGTTACCATTTTGGAGATACAAGGTTTCGTTCCAACAGCAGTGATATGCCATATGCAACATTGGTATTTTTAAGACTGAATTAAAAATCAGAGATGCACAATAATATCAGTATCATATCAGTATCAGCAGATAATTGCTTAAAAACGACTGGCATTGGACAGATGTTTAGATATGACTGATATTTCAAACCAATATTATGCCATATTACTTCGACTTCAATTACTTCAAACATTTCAAACACCTCAGTGTCACTGCTGGACTGAGAATAGTCCACCAACCAAAAATATCCAGCCAACAGTGTCCTGTGGGCAGCGTCCTGTGACCACTGATGAAGGACTAGAGGATGACCAACACAAACTGTGCAGCAGCAGATGAGCTATCGTCTCTGACTTTACATCTACAAGGTGGACTGACAAGGTAGGAGCGTCTAATAGAGTGGACAGTGAGTGGACACAGTGTTTAAAAACTCCAGCAGCATTGCTGTGTCTGATCCACTCAGACCAGCACAACACACAGTAACACACCACCATGTCAGTGTTACTGCAGTGCTGAGAATGATCCACCACCCAAATAGTACCTGCTCCGTGAGGGTCCATGGGGGTCCTGACCACTGAAGAACAGGGTAAAAGGGGGCTAACAAAGTATGCCGAGAAACAGATGGACTACAGTCTGTAACTGTAGAACTACACAGTGCACCTATATAGTAAGTGGAGCTGATAAAATGGACAATGACCGTAGAAACAAGGAGGTGGTCATAAATGTTATGCTTGATCTGTGTAAGTGTTCCTAATTGCTCAGCTGAACTTTAAAACATAAAATATTTATAGTCATACACTTATACATATGTACTTATACATACACTATTAAGATACCATAGCAACACCTTAGCAACCACTTGGGATAACATGGCAACTGCCTAGCCACACCCTAGCATCTACCTGAAACACAAGAGCAACAACCAAGCAACCACCTTGGATAGCTATAACCTGGATACTTTAGCAACAACCAAAAATACCATAGTAACCACTCAGCAATACACTAGCAACAACCTAACAACCGAATAATAACTGCCAAAAAAGACCATAGCAACATTCTAGCAATTCATTTTCTTCAGCAAGTGTACTTTTCTATTAAACTGCACGGCTTATTTGTTTTTTTTTCTTTTTCTTATGAACCTTATAAAAACTCCCTGTGTAGTATGTTCATGTGGCCTCAGCCAACTTTAACATATATCTGTAATAATAATCCTGCAAAACTCAAAACTGAATAAGAAATATAATTAAAATAAAGCATATGAATGTACTGTGAGGCAGCCTGAAGCTTGGCCTATGTTACCCTCTTTGCTGGCTAAGGCACTGCGAACTCCATGCCACAGCAGTGAGATCTCCTCGTCCGTTGGCGTGCGATCCAGGCAGATGCCGTTCTCTCCACACTGGAGCGGCCGCCTGGCACTCCCCATCTGGGCCTCTGGCTGGCAGAGGGCATAGATGCCTTTAGACACGGTCTCGTATGCGTAGGCATAGGAGGGTGGCACTGGGGCCAGTACAGCACCTTCATCAATTTTGAGCACATGATGCTGAGAGACAGGCTGGCTGTCTGGGTTTTCTGCTTTGCTATTGGGACAGTCGTTGCTATAGGCCGCCTTGGTGATATAAATGGTGGGCTCAGCTGAGTTGGCTTCCAAAACCTCAGATCTGGGAGGGGGTCGAGGAACCATGGCCTTCCCTTGAGTTCGGACAACCCGCTGCGCCTCACTAGCGGACTGAGGTCTGATCACGGTACCTTTCCTGGCCCGTGACGATACGGGGCCCGAAACGGTCCTGGCTGAGCGGACCCTACGGGGAATATGTGAACCAGCAACACGAGCGCCTGACCTCTGTGGCTTGGGTTCTTCTGTGGGTTCCTCCTGGGGTCTCGCGTCTGCCCAGGCTTGTCTGGTGGAACTGGGTCCAGCAGACGTCTTTGGTATTCCTGGGGGTGCATTCATATACCCAGAGTTATGTAATTCCTGCTGGTGGTCCACAGAAGGCTGTTGAGATGGATTACTTGGTTTGCCTTTAGTTGGTGCCTGCTTGCTTAGGTCTTTCTTCAGTCTCTCCTCACACTCCTCCTCATTGTCGTTCACCTCATCAAACCAGCGAAGTTTCTTTTTCATGCTCTTGTCGCTCTCAGGCTCTCTGGCTTTCGTCCTGGTCAGCTCCATACTGTCCCTAATAGACATGGCTACTTGTTTGGGGAACACAAAGTGTCCTGAGGTGTAAATGAATTTGGTATCTCCCACCACATACTTGGAGTTCTTCTTCAGTATTCCTTTGAGGAACCGCACATCACCACATTTAGGGGCAGGACAGCTGGTTGCACCCTCCGTTAACGTCCTGTCTGGTTCCTCTGCGGTTTTGCAAGACTTGGAAGGCACTCTTCTATCACTGCATTCATCTGGTAGGTTGGAAGCCTCCGCTCTTTTGAACTTCTCCTCATAGCTCTCAGGTTTATTTTCCCTCTGGAGGGCTGTAGAGTCTGGTTTCTTCTTACAGGACTCAGAAGAACCCTCTGATTCTACTGGTTGTAAGGCTACGTTGCCAAAATGAGAAGAAGCTGTGTTCAGATCAGCAGCAGTGCTGGATGAAGCCTGGAAAAAACTGTCTCTGTGTCTGCATCCCCCAGCTGGCTGAGCAGCCCGTGTCTCTGATGGACATTTAGCATATTTCTCCTCCAGCGTTTTTCCCTGCAACTTGGGCTCCTGAGTCAGACTCGGCACAGTGCATGTTTTGCAGTGGGCAACTACGATGCCTCTGTCTCTCGAAATGTTCCCTGGAGCAGTGCTGTCAAAACAGTTAGCCATATGTCCTGAACAAGCTGCTAGGTCCTGCTGAGCTTGCACATTTTGGCAGCTGGGAGTAGACTGGGTGTCTACCTTCTGATAGCCTTCTGATTGGTCGGTCAGATTGCACTGCTGCGCTGCTTGTGTGAGATCCCAGAGATTTTGGTCTTCATCTGCTGACTCACCATCCTCCCTGGGTGAAAGTGATGGGGAGCTGGAACTGGGGCTGCCCTGCTGACTTAATACCTCCTCCAGGAAGCTCTTTGGTGGACCATGGTCAGACGATGGACATAGGTGGTTTGGTTGCCGTGGTCTTGTGAAATCCTTGACCTCTAGAGGATCCAGAAAGGAGCTGGAGCAGGCAGGGCTGTTGTCATGACCCTGCTGAGGGAACCTCATTCTCCAGGCTGTCCAGGCTAGACAGGCTTTCTGAACAGCTAGGTGGGGTGTCTTGGGGGTCCTGTAATCAATATAGCAAGATTTGACATGACCATGGTCTTGTGCGTGATAATAATTCATATTTTTAAATTCTTTAAACATTTTTAAAGGCAAGGTTTGTTGTTGTTTGGCTTTTTTAAAAGGGGAATACTGCCCATTTTTCAAAGTTTCTGCATTATTAACTTGTTTTGATGTCAATAAAGCCAGAGTTCTGATGTGAAATGGTGCACTGCACAGAAACATAAAGACCGTGATAGGATCCAGGGTTACAGTGTATACCACCCAAATATAGCCATTTTATATTCTATACAAAATGACCAGTAAACCTTCTGCATTTTTATATGTAATTGCGTGTTGTCTCTAGATTTTTTAGGCCGAGCGTGTAACAAGACAGAACTGGCCAGACGCTTGTGGATATAATTAGAAAAAGTGGCTTTACTGGTTAAATCGTACTCCAAACTCGTGCTAGAAAATAGGCTTGGGTCAAATCCAAAACAATACGAAAATACAAAAAGACAAACATAACAAGGCAGAACACAGTCTGATACACAATAAGGCAATACAAGACAGAGCGCTCATAGCTCAGGAGAATGAAGCAATACCTAATATACCTTATATACTAACTACTCTATGTCACATGGAAAACAAGACATATTAGTATTCAGGTGAAGGAGACTGACGATTGGCTGTGGATGGTCGGTTGACAGTCACGTAATATCCATGGGAGTTCTGGGAGTTGCAGTTCACTAGCTGGTCAAGTCCAGAAGGATGCGTCACAGAGTGGTAGATCCCTTCACAACCACCAGTGTTACTTGGTGTTCTTTAAATGAGTGGGGGCTGGTGTAGGATCATTGTACAGAATTATTTTTGAAATGCATTATACATATAAATACACTACATTTAACACTTTCAACATGTTTACTTTCAAGAAGTGTAATTGTGATTGTTGGAGTTCTTTATAATCAGTTAATTTATATACAAAGAATTCATGAATGACTGAATGCTTTACAGTTCATAACAGGTCAAAGGATTTGCTAATTTGCATATATTTCTGTAGAAATGTATAAGAATAATGTTAATAGTTCCTTAAAAACTAGTAGTTTTTTGTTGTACAACTGGTCTGTAAGAAAGCCCAAATAGATCTGCATTTGATGAAGAATTCTATAGGAAGTTTGTCTGCAAATATCCAGCAGTTTGAGCTCGTTGGTTTTATTTGTCAATAAAATGGCAAAAGCCTTAGTTTCACTTCTTTTACTATCTTATTACAACACAAATTTCAATAAAACTAAAACCACTCCAAACTTATGTCTTGGATTGCAGAAAAGAAAGAACACTTTTAATGAAATTCTGTGATTAAAGCCTACTGTGACTACATGCTGCTCCTTCGGCACAAACCAGCTCGTCTCTGAAAACTGATTTTTGAAAACTGATTATTTTGCTAAAAATATGGAGTGAATAAAACATAAAAATACCAAACGCCAGGAAGCAAAAGTTAACCTGCCAGTCACATCTTAATGTCTGTATCTCATCCAAGCTGGGTTGGCTGGGTGTATATTACTGTGGGCAAATGCTATAATTTTAACAATAGGTAAAAAAAGTGGTATATCAGACCAAAAAAAAGGTTTTTTACAACACCTTGCATGTACCTCTCCACCATGAAGACGTTTTAAACCGAAACCTCTCAGCACTGTCGTAAAACACTGTCTCAGGGATTAGACAGCGTCTTTACTTCGGATGTCTGGTTCCTATCACCACCACTGTGAACAATTCTGATGTCTCTAGAACGAAGCATTTCATACCAAGCCACTCTGAATGACTTAATTTACATTTGAATGATTTACTTGATGACTAATATGATTAGTAGTGGCAGGTCTAAAGAAAAACAAATATTTCTTCTTTATTCTTAAGGCATGACACTGATTACTAAATGTAAATGGAGGATGCTCAGTCATGCAAATGAGCAGGAACGCGGGAAGGAATCTATATATATTTTCACTTGAATAACTTTGTGTCTAATATAAAATTCAGGAAGCAAAAGACAAGACAAGGTAGACAGAAATAACACCTTCCAGGAATCACATGGTTTGGGTTTCATGGGAAAAATATTTACAAATGCCTAATAATAGATTCCACACAGTTTCTCAGCAACAGTGTCTTGGCTGAAAATGAAAAGAAAGCAAAACAAAAGAGAAACACCCCCCTCGGTTCTAAATAGGATTACAGCTGTTCTGTCCCGGTCTGTTTAGAATTACAGGATTATGTTCTGGCTTCCACCCAGCACAGGTAGCATTCCAGTGTGTGTGTGAGTGTGTGCGTGCTGGAAGGTCCTTCAGGGGGCCTTTGTGCTTGTTCAGACGATGCTCCAGCACGCTGTTGCAGGTGGAGCTCAAGGCTAGAATGGTACTGTCTTTTTTTATTTCACATTTTATGAGAGCAATGTAAAAAATGATTGATTCATCTTTCTTGCATAAAATGGACCTGATGATTAAAATCCAAAACTATTTTAAAAAATATAATGTGTTGTGGGGGCGGGGGGGTCCTTTCGGGGTACGTTACCTTAAGGCAACATTGTATGACAAATGGAAACAAATGATACAGAGAAAATTCTATTTTACTCTAAATATTTGGAACAAAACTGAGTAATTACACAAATTGTCGATCTTCATATACTAAAAAAATGTTAAAGAAAATCAAAGACCAATCTATTTCATTTTATTTTCAATGCCATGATGCTTCGTGAAGTAATGTTTCAGTTTTTTGCAGCTCAAATATTCATTTAAAATCACAAATAAGAGTTAGAACTGCACTAAAACATCAAAAAAATCAAGAAAATTTGAAGAGCTCATTTGCATAAAAAAATAAACGCCCTCCTTTGAAAAAAAGGACTGTGGTCAGTTATTCCTAGCGCACAGCACATTCTGAACCCTAAATACAATCAGTTCAGCCAATCAGCACGCAGTATTTGGTTCAGGTGTCTCAACACTGCCACGCTGTTTTAGGCAGAATCTCAAACGGCTCCCTTCTCCCTACAAAGTGCAGCACGCAGGTCTTAAAATTCTGGCTACTGTGTCTAAACAGAGCTCAGTGTGTCTAACGGAGAACCACTTTGGATTCAGTCGTGTGTTCACAATTCATACTGTACATGAAGTGCAATATCTGGGGGTTAAAGCCAAAATTTCATAACTCACATAGTGCACTATACACCGATCAGGCATAACATTCTGACCACCTCCTTGTTTCTACGCTCTTTGTCCATTTTATCAGCTCCACTTACTATATAGGTGCACTTTGTAGTTCTACAGTTACAGACTGTAGTCCATCTGTTTCTCTGCATACTTTGTTAGCCCCCTTTTACCCTGTTCTTCAGTGGTCAGGACCCCCATGGACCCTCACAGAGCAGGTACTATTTGGGTGGTGGATCATTCTCAGCACTGCAGTGACATTGACGTGGTGGTGGTGTGTTAGTGTGTGTTGTGCTGGTCTGAGTGGATCAGACACAGCAGTGCTGCTGGAGTTTTTAAACACCTCAATGTCACTGCTGGACCAAGAATAGTCCGCCAACCAAAAATATCCAGCCAACAGCGTCCTGTGGGCAGCGTCCTGTGACCACTGATGAAGGACAAGAGGATGACCAACACTAACTGTGCAGCAGCAGATGAGCTGTCGTCTCTGACTTTACATCTACAAGGTGGACTGACAAGGTAGGAGCGTCTAATAGAGTGGACAGTGAGTGGACACAGTGTTTAAAAACTCCAGCAGCACTGCTGTGTCTGATCCACTCAGACCAGCACAACACACACTAACACACCACCACCACGTCAATGTCACTGCAGTGCTGAGAATGATCCACCACCCAAATAGTACCTGCTCTGTGAGGGTCTATGGGGGTCCTGACCACTGAAGAACAGGGTAAAAGGGGGCTAACAAAGTATGCAGAGAAACAGATGGACTACAGTCTGTAACTGTAGAACTACAAAGTGCACCTATATAGTAAGTGGAGCTGATAAAATGGACAATGAGCGTAGAAACAAGGAGGTGGTCTTAATGTTATGCCTGATCGGTGTTTGTATCATGTTATTGTAAAGTGATGCAAAATGGGTGTTACCCTGAGGCAACACTGTGCAATAGAAGGTTAATAACATTGCAAACTCACTCTAATATGCTGTTAACACAAACTCACATACCCTTAACATACACCCACACACCTTCCTCATCAAACACCCACACACTCTTCTCAACACACACCCAGCCAGCTTCTGCTGCGGCGGTTTAGTGACACTCCAGGTCAGATGATGCTGCTGTAATGTTATTCTGCGTTTCCATGTTGGCATTGAAAAACTTCACATTACCAGATTTTTTGCCCTAATGTGACTCAGATCTGATGTTTTCAGTGCTGTGTGAACACGCAAATCTGATCTTTTCAAATCCGACCTGAGCCACTTTCATATGTGGTCCTAGATCGGATACGTATCCGATTTGTGGCTATGCGACCCTAATGTGACGTTTTGATCGGAATTTATGTGTTTTTTTTCCACTGCATCATTCAGCGTTACCATGGCAGCAACACCGAACAGAAGTTAAAGCCTGTAAACGATAAAAAAGCAACACATTTCACCTTCTTCGCCTTCGTCTCGCTCTAATAATGAACAGAGAGATTGGATTTGAGCAAAAAACGTATTTAAGCAATGAGGCTTGTAATGTGAACGTAGGCTTAGTTCTGTATCTCATAGCAGTACATAACCAACAGCGGCAAGCAGCCATAGAAACGTTGCCATGGTGACAGGGTTACTAGTGAAAATGAATCATTATCATAAAAAAAAAAATTGCGCTTTAGCAATTTTGGTTTGTTTATTTAGGGAGGAATAAAGGCAGCAGTTCTATTCAAATTTTTCAACAAAGGGAGGTTCCACTGTCACGGTCAACTTATTTCCCAAAAAACAGAGAAAACTGGACTCTTGATGGAACACTCCATCGCTGATCCACTGAAAAGAACAGAATATCCAATTTGCTGTTGACTATTTACCATTAAAAAAGTAAACGCAGCATTAATGTTAAAGGGGAAATCAATCGATTAGTCAAAATTTTGTTCTTGAGAAACTTTAAATCTGAATTGTTAGGGATCAAATCTGAACGGTTCACAGTGCTGGTGTGACGTCTGAAGAGTTTAATGCCTATAATAGCTCCCACATAGGAAGTTATTAAACACAACCCATATTTCGATCAATATCGGTCCGCTGGCTTAATAAGGCCGGCACCCCACTGACTGTCACTGCTGGTCCACCCTCGGACCACCCAGATTATTGTCCTGCATACAAGCTCTAACTAGTTTTCAATCTCTCCAAAGGCACACAAACCTTTATTTTAGAGAAACAGCTAAGACAAATATTACAAACAACTAAGAGAAAAAAAATAAAGACTAGGCCTGATATAAAATGATTTTATAGAAAATGTTGTTACTGACACTGAGCTCGATTAAAATGATTTAATAAACTAACTTACAAAGTATAACTAAAGAAAAGAGGGAAGGAAAAATAAGTCATTTGGACTGTGAGGGGAAAATGAGTGATGATAAGTGGAATTTTGTCTAATACTCTGCTTAAACATCGGTGGACCGCAACGAAAGCGCTGAGCGAAACACCAATGGACCGCCAGCTTTGCCATCAGCGGGCCAACGGTGGCCCACTGTCCTCTTGCTATCAGGGAATGGTTACAAATACTTTGTCTGATTATTTTACCATTATCAACATTACATATAAGACTCGTGTAGGTTCACCGGTGGTTTTGGATAGTACTATATTTGTGTTGTAGACATTGGGACCCCTGGTTCCCATCACCACCATTGTAAACTGACATAGTTCTCTACAACGAACCATTTCACATCAAACCACTCTGAATGATTTTGTTTACATTTCAACATTAGAATTATGCAGAAAATTTGAAAAATTGCCAAAATTCCACTTTAGAGTCATATGTTACTTAATGTTTGTGTCCTTATACAAATTACACAAATGTAATTTATGGTGATGATAATGATTATTATTATTATGTTGAGATATTTGAAACATCCACACGCAGGCTGTTCTGCAGTGTTTTAAATGTTGTGTGGCAACAGTAACAGGCTGACCTGTGGGCAGCCCTGCTGTTGGTCCTCTGACTCCTGCAGCTGGTTGAAGAAGAGCAGCTGGTTGCTTTTGAAGTCACTCAGGCTTCTCTCCTGCATGAGCTTGGCATAGGCTTCGGCTGCAGAGACCGCCCGCAGGCTGCGAGGACCACTGGAGCCCCCTGGAGGCTTAGGGGAGGGAGTGCAGCTCCTATTTAGAACAGCAGCAAAAACACTATATGTTTCTCATCCAGTGGCTTAAAAGACAGAATAATGACTGTATTTTAAATGTGACCGTCTCACTGGTAGAATAAACCTTCATAAGTGTCAGAAGAGATGTAAAGACATTTGTGTAAGAAATGTACAAACTGAGGCACAACCACACAACTGCGCATGAGCACTGAAAACAAAGTAGTGTAAGAGTGGTTTGTATTAGCAACACCTGACATGGATTAAAGGAAACACATGCTTAACTTAGTAACTGCATTAATGTAAATGGGAAATCGCACCTGTTGATGGCAGAGGCACTGGATAAAAATGGAGAGTGAAGAGTCCCATGAATATGACTGAGTGCTTCCTCTAAGTTAGGTGCTCTTTTACCAGAGACTAGGGGAAAAATAAAAAATAATATTGTCTTAAATACTAGAAAACCAATCGTGATACAGATACATATATATGTACAAATGATGTATGAAATCATACATACAATATAAAGGAAATTGTAAAAAGTAGTAATCTAATAATGTGCATAATAATTTAGAATGAATTATAATACAATACAATAGAATACAAGACACACACACATACACACAAATTCAATATTCACTTTGACATGATACAGTGGTATCTTGATTTGATACATTTTTCAATATAGAAAACAGCTCAACACAGATATTTAGTATTTTAACTCACCAAATTTTTTGATTTTTTGCAAATATTTTCAAATTTAATGCCAGCAACACAGGTAAATAGGTACAAGGTGATGCTATCATCATATGGAATAAAAGTTAAGTGACCCTTATCATCTCCCACAATGGGGAAATCCTCTGCATTTTGACCCATCCGTGCAGTAAAACATCACATACACACTAGTGAATGCGCACACACACACACTAGGGGGCAGTGAGCACACTTGCCCAGACCGGTGGGCAGCCCTATCCACTGGGCCCAGGGAGCAGTTGGGGGTTAGGTGACTTGCTCAAGGGCACTTCAGTCATGTACTGTCAAGCTCAGGGGATCGAACCGGTGACCTTCTGGTCACAAGGCTGGTTGGCTAACCTCCAGCCCTTGACCGCCTCAAAAAAAGTAGCATTAACGAAAGGCTCAGTCGCCACTTTGAGAAAAAACTGCATGTGCAAATAGTCCAACGGTTAAAGAACAATGTTTATCACAAAGTGGCGACTGAGCGTTTCGTGACTGCTACTTTTATTCCATATCATGACAGCATCACCTTGGACCTATTCATCTGTTTAGTTATGGAAAGTCTCAGTCGCCACTTTGCGAAAAACTGCATGAGCGAATAGTCCAACAGTTTAAGAACAACGTTTTTAAACACACATTTGCAAGAAACTTTCATCATCTACAGTCCATAAAGTTATTAAAAGATTCAGAGAATCTGGTGAAATCTCTGTGCGTAAAGCGCAAGGCCAAAGAAACAATATTTAATGCCTGTGACTTTCCATACTTTGGAAAACCCTTGTCAGTAAACACAGTTTGTTGCTGCATCTAGAATTACAAGTTAAGGCTCTACAATGTAACAAAACTGGACTAAAGCTAATCTAAGATGGACTGATTCAAGAGGAAACATGTGCTAGTCCACCTTTCAAATCGTTTCTGGAAATAATGAACGTTGTGTTCTCTGGAGAGGAAAAGGACCATCCTGATGGTGATGTTGGTCAGTGATGTTATACAGTGGTAAACATGCCCCTGTCCCAACTTTTGCAAGCATCCACTATAGGATAAGTGTATACACTCAAAAAACAATAACGTTAATTAGTTGAAACATTAAATATCTTGTCTTTGCACTTTTTTCAATTAAATTCAGGTCAAAAAGGATTTGCAAACTTTTTTTTTTGCAATTGTGTTTGTAACTTCATGGAATTGCCATGTCATGAAATACTGTCAAAATCATGGAATACTGGCTTTGTATTAGAATCAAATTGTGCAGGTATCTGCAATTAGTTTTGGTTTTATATTTGTGAAAACACTTAATGATGATGTGCTTATAATCCCATAAAGTTCAAGAAACCCATTTTAAAGCAGATTCCAACCCACCAACCAAAACAGAGAGTAGGGTGAGTAAGAGTTGGTGAGGATCAGTGCTGGCAATCTAATGTTTGATATGCTGACCTGGCCTCCTTCTTTGGGACAGAGGGAGGTGTGCTCTCTGAAAGCGCTCTGTAGCATCCTGCACCCTCTGCTTACGCTGCTGCAGAATTTTCTCCCTCAGTCTCTGCTCCTGAACATCCCACTGCCTCCTCCTCTCCTCGAGCGCCCTGAGAGAGAGAGAGAGAGAGAGAGAGAGAGAGAGAGAGAGAGACAGAGAGAGAGAGAGAGAGAGAGAGAGAGAGAGAGAGAGAGAGAGAGACAAAGAGAGAGAGAGATTAACAGATAAGGAGTAAAAGCATCTAAATATCAAATGAAGGAGCTTTAATTGGAGTGGAAATGCATCTTTGTTTGCATCGGCAACAACATCTCGTTATGCAAGCTGTCATTGTCTCAGCAAAGCTAGGAGAAACCAGAGCCCTTTGTCTAAGCTGGCATTTCAACAAAATTAATTTGTTAATGGCATATCAGCTTCAACAAATGGCAGAGCTACATTCAATCACAGACAGTAGCAGAGTCGTAGGAGATACAGAGTGAAACAAAGCTTGAGAGTCTTATATATAAAGACTATATCGTCACTGTTCAAAGAAAACCATGCATCTCCATTTTTGTTTAATTTCTTTTTGTCTGTTTTTATTTCTATTTTGTTTTTGTTTGTTTGTTTCTACACTGTTTCAATTCATCAGCTGTCCTTTACGCTGTGTGAAAATTTCATGATGAATGGACCAATAGAAATGCTCTAAAATCACTTGGAATAAAATCTTTTTTGGTCTTGTCTGTAAAGTTACTATTTTGGAGATACTTGTTTTTCTTTGGACAGCGATAATTGCTATCATATAATCAGAAGTAATACAAATGGTCAAAATAGCCATTATTAAACATAATAATAAAACACAAACATGCATGTGCAGATAAAAATTGGCCCTTTTGCTTACGTCTGGCACATTTACATTATTTAATAATGATGCCGATTAATGTGCATTGTCCCTGTTAAAGCTGCCCTGTGTAAGTTTCGGAGATTTGGAGACCTCTCTGGTGGGAAGGTGTAATTACACGCAATATGCATCACAACATTTGCAATATCGGTTGTGCTTCGTCCCGCTTCCCCAAGAGGATGAATCTGTTGATTGTTAGTGTGTTGACAAAGTATTCAAAGAGAACTCGGCGTGAAGTTGGTGATGAACGTGTCTTCACAGAGAATTATCCACTATTGTCAACATATCTTCATCAGTATCATGATGACTTTTGCATTTGCGACCTGAGTATCGGGCCTGACCTTGTAAGGACGTATGACGTATGAAAACCTCCTGCCAAATCTGACCTGACCCTGATTTTTTAATTATTATTTTAGACTTTACAGGGTGAGCTTTAAATAAATAAAGCAAAGCAAAGTATATGCACACATAACTGCAGATATGCAGGGTTTCTGTAAGGTCATCTTGAAGGAACTGTAGTCTCGTACCAGAATAGTGAGTTATAAACGTAGTAGGATTTGTGTCTCAGTCTAGTGTGTGCTTTGTAAAGAAGGCAGGGGGGTTATGTGTCTGGTCTGGTCACTGATGGCTATTATAAGTGACTTTACCCGTACTGATTAGGGGATCTATTTCAAGAGACCAAATCCTGGCTGACAACTAAAGCATTGAATAACAGTATCTTTGGACTGGACGTGCTAGCCTCGCTTCCATTGGGCACGGGGCAGAGCCTGGGTCAGAAACCTAAGCTTCTGGTGAGGAAGCAGGGTAAGCTGCAGGTTACACACACACACACACATATGCACATGCTGAGAGCATTCTGCCTGTCTGCAAATACACTCTAGAACAGTGCGTCCTAAAGCCACTGCTGTGTGTTCTTGCCTTGCCTTTATGGTTCTGTGTTGACCTCTACTACATTTGTTCACAAATGCAATCAGTAAAGTAATACAACCCCATTTCCAGAAACAGTTGGGACACTGTGCAGAATGTAAGTATAAATGGAATGCAATGATATGCAAATCATTTATACATACATATACATACATCATCTAAACCGCTTATCCTTCTGGGTCGCGGTGGGGTGCTGGAGCCTATCCCAGCTGTCATTGGGCAGAAGGCAGGATACACCCTGGACAGGTTGCCAGCCCATCGCAGGCAAATCATTTAAGCCATATTTTTAAAGGAAAATACTACAAAGACAACATATCAAATGTTGAAACTGAGAAATGTTATTGTTTTTTGAAAAATATATACCCCTTTTTGAATTTGATGCCAACAACATGTTCCAAAAAAGTCGGGACGGGGGCATGTTTACCACTGTGTTTCATCACCTCTTCTTTTAACAACACTCTGTAAGCATTTGGGAACTGAGGAGACACTGCTGAAGTTTTGAAAGTGAAATGTTTTCTCATTCTTGTTTGATACAGGATTTCAGCTGCTCATCAGTTCAGGGTCTCCTTTGTCATATTTTTCATTTCATAATGTGCCAAATATTATCAGTAGGTGACAGTCTGGACTGCACCCAGACTCTTTTAATACGGAGCAATGCTGTTGTAATACATGCAGAATGTGGTTTGACATCGTCTTGCTAAAATAATCAAGGCCTTCCCTGAGAAAGATGTCGTCTGGATGGCAGCATAAGTTGCCAAAACATGTATATATTGTTCAGCATTAATGGTGCCTTCACAGATGTGCACATCTCCCATGCCATGTGCACTAATGTCCCCGCCATACCATCATGAATACTGGCTTTTGAACTGTGCACTGATAACAAGCTGAGTGGTCTTTAGCCCGGAGGACACAATGTCCATGGTTTCCAAAAAGAATTTCAAATGTTGAATTGTCGGACAACAGGCTCGGGCCCAGAGAAGGTGGCAGCGTTTCTGGATCCTGTTTATATATGGTTTCTTTGCATTTTAGAGCTTTAATTCGCAATTGTGGATGGATCGACGAACTGTGTCCAAAGACAGTGGTTTTCAGAAGTGTTTCTGAGCCCATGCAGTGATTTCCTCTACAGAATCATGTCTGTTTTTAATGCAGTTCTGCCTGAGGTTCATGAGCTGCAGCTCTACTATAATATCCCTCTCTATGTAGTCGTGGACGGCACAGTCTGATTACAACCTGCACTGACATTCTCAGTCACCTGAGGAACCATTGCTCTTACATATCGCACTAATGCACGTGCATCATGGTCACTGAATGTGTGCTTTCTGCCACAATTTCCAACCCTGTTTATTGATGTCTTTCCCACAGGTCTAAATGCAGATCACTTTGATTGCTGTTCCTACCAAAACATCAGCCAGCTGAGCAGTCTTTGTGATAGTGATCCCTATTTTATAGTCACAGATCTTTTTCTTTTGCCATCTTGATCCAAAATCGAATTCAATTGGGCCTCCTCAGCTTGTATATACTAGCCACAGAGCATGGAAGGTTGTTGAATGCATAACTGTATCATGCCATATACCTACCTGGAAGCACTTATTTTCCTAAAATACAATTGACCTATTAGCTACTATCAAACTAATATGAAAGTTATGAGTTATGTTGCAAGGGACTAAAGTGTGGGGAACTGAAGGCTACTAACAGTCCCACTGTCTCACATTTTCTTGAACCACTGTAAATCATGCATGCAGTATCGCGGGCACGATATTGACATAAAATACGATGTTTGATAAATATGTCGGATATTACGATGACGGTATGAGAAGCGATAATTTAGTATTAAATTAAAGTGTTTCTGGCTGCATGTAATGCTAGTGTAGACAATTCTTTTGGGATGTGTAAACAGAAATCTAACTAACCTCCCTTTAAACCTCTCTTTAAAAAATAGCAAAATACAAAATTACAAAAGCACCATTTACTATTCTGTAAAATAAAAAGAAATGAAATACTAACAACTACTTACATTGGAATTACAAGCACTTTTTTGCATTTTTGTGTATATTTTTTTGTATATATTACATAGGCACACAAGAACAAATACATGTTCTTGTTTCATTTTTTTTGTTTAGTTATTAAATATTGGGGTGTCAGACACACCAGGTTGTATTTAGTTTAAAAACTAGCGTTCTTATTTTCGAGTGTAGTTAGGCACTGTGTTCTTCATTGGTCTGGGACTCTTATTTTGAAAGACTCTGGGAGGCGTAAGGTAGTGAGCTTCAGTAGCCCATCTGGCTAGAGTTGAATTTCCATTAAAGCTGAGTTAAGGGCGACATTTTAAGGTCTCAGAATGTGTGTTGTGTAGTTGAATGGTTAAGTCCCTCGTCTCCTGCAGTGGAGAGCAGATTCAGTCCCAGCTCAGAGAAGCAGGCTTGTAACAGTTTGTGCCGGTAATGTAATGACATCTCTCTGGTGCTGCGTGTAATTATATCTGTTTTCTCATCGCCGCTCTAATGATGTGTTTATCGCAGAAACTCATATCGCAATAACAATAGAAATACGATATATCGTGCAGCCCTAGCATGTAGTATAAAATCTTACCTTCTCCGCCGGTTTGTCTCTGAGGAGAATTTGCGGGCGCGAGCTCGACAAGACTTCTGTTCCTGAACCAGCAGCTCCCGGTCATCGTCAGCCTCTACCTCCAAACCTGGCCTGAAGTTTCTGGTGTAATGCCAGGTTAAGAGAGCACACAGTTACAGATGTCAAAAAGATTAGCTCCATCATTTACAGGAGACTTTCCATCTGTAAAACGACCGAGAACGGGAAGTGAAACAAAGTATTTTATTTTACATAAAAGCTGGCATTCATCCCTCATATTCCATAATAAAACTTAAGTACTAATTTTACAGGATTAGGTGGGATAATGCCAGTTTACACATCGGCTTCATTTTAGCCACAGAGAACACAAGTAAACGCTTCTTTGAGTGCCTTCATACTTAAGAAACTCTGTTTTTTAATAGGATATAATAGCATTTTTATGACATGTTGATTCACATGGAATTAATGTAACCTGAGCATCACTGAGAAACACTGTTAAAAATTACATTACCCCACCTCCCCATATAAAACTAGTCCTGTCCGAATAGGACTATACATGTAAGAACTGCTGTAAATTTACAGTATACTCAGCCATTAGAGTGCTGTATTATTGTAGTGTATACATACAGTAAAGCACTGTAAAATATTTACCTCTAAAATAGACACAACAACCTGTTAATAATTTACAGTATTTCCCTATGTTTTCGCTACAATTATTGACTGTAAATTTGCAGTACTTTACTGCCAGTAAATTACAGTAAATTGTACCGTATTTTTTTTATAGTGTAGACCTGCCACTCCAGTGTGTCTGTAACTTAGTGGTTGTGTTATTAATTACAATCAGGTGCATAATAAACTGCAGATATTCGGAAGTTTCTCCATAAACATATAATCTGCCTTTCGCTGATAACCAAAGGTTGATATAATCGACCTGATAAACAAACACTCTTCCTACAGAGGGTCAGAAACGCCGGCTTCTCTCAAACCTTTCTGTAAGAAATGTTTGCTTCTCTATAAACGTTCTGAATTTACTAACCCACATTTATTATTAACTTACGCTTCAGTTACTCCTAATATTTCTTATAATCTGTCCAAGCCCCATTACAAATCTTCCTTCTTAGCCACATTCAAATGATCTTAGCAAGGTTAACGAAATTAAGCAGCGTACACGCTTAAAAAAGAGGGTTCTTTAATAAAGACAGTGGTTCTATATAGAACCATGAGCACTCAAAGAACCATTTGCATGCTTAATAATAAGATGGTTCTTCAGACTGATAGAGCATGTGCTGTATAAGGTTCTATATGGAACCAATGTCAAGCTGTGCTATGCAAGAACCATACACATCACGTTCTCTCTCAGTCTAAAGAACCATTTCACCATGCAAAGAACCATTTAAGGAAGCAAATGGGTCTTTGACTGTTCATGGATCTACATAGAACCACTGTTTTTACTAAAGAACCCTTGAAGGACCTTCTTTCTTAAGCGTGTAAGCTGCCTAATTTCGTTAACCTTGCTAAGATCGGTTGAACGTTACTAAGAAGGCAGTCACGTTTACTACATTTGTAATGGAGCTTGGACAGATTATAAAAATACTAGGAGTTACTGAAGCGTAACTTAATAATAAATAATAAATAAATAAATGATAAGCAGGCATTTCTGACACTGTAGGCAGAGTGTTTCCGTTTATCAGGTCGATTACATCAACTTGCTTATTGGTGAAAGGCAGTTTATATGTTTAAGGAGAAACTTCTGGATATCTGCAGATTATTATGTACCTGATTGTAATCAATAACACGACTGGTAAGTTATGGAGTGGTAGGTCTACACTATAAAAAATACTGTACAATTTACTGTAATTTGCTGGCAGCAAAGTACTGCAAAGTTACAGTAAAGCAAATACATAGGGAAGTATTGTAAATTAGGCGTGTAGGTGGAATTACTCATCCTTCTTTTTATATCAAATATCATTCACAGTAACGTTAGTTAGCTAAATTATTAGACAAACAGCCAATTTCACACATAAACCAGTAACAAAGCATCCAAAAAGGATACGAGTAGAAGAGAGTCTCCTTCAGAGCTTGCATCCCCAACAGAAGAGGAGAGAGATCCTCCTTAGCTTTCCAGTTTCACCAGTTTCACCCTCCCAGCCTTCATCCGGACAGGACAGCTCTCCTCATGCTGATGCTGTTGGAGGAGCAGGACTGCAGAGCTGGAGAAATAAAGATTTTCGCTAGTTTAGCTGCTGTTAGAGAGGCAGCTCAGAGGCTGAGAGGACAAAACAGCGGGCTGCCAACACGAACGTTAAGCTGTTATGTCATGCTAGCCGTCCTGCCCTAAGAGAGCTCTGCTTTAGCCAGCGCTGCATTTAGAAATATCTCCTGAGGCGACTGTCTGCGCTTTTTAGGCGTGGCTAGTCCTGTTTCTGCAAAAATAATAAATAAATAAATACACAAAATACAAAACAGGCGTTGGTCGAAGACGCTGGCTTCATTAAAAAGCCGTTTATTCGGTTAGCTTAGCCCTTAGCATCTCAAACCGCACAGCAACAGTTGCTCCATGTTGGTAACCACAGACGCGTCTCCTTGGCAACGGTAACAACAGAAGAGCGCCGATAGGAGGCGCTGCAGAGACGAACGGAACAGCAGGGACGTTTTCATAATGGTCAAAAATGGTATTTTTAAAAGGGGAATTCCACCTTTTTTCCAAAAATGTCTGCGCGATTCAGTGCTTGAGATGTAAGCAACGTCATTCAGAGTGGTTTGGTGTGAAATGGTTGATTGTAGAGGCTCAGATGTTAGTGGTGGTGATAGGAACCAGGAGTCACAATTCAATTCAATTCAATTCAATTCAATTCAATTCAACTTTATTGTCATTATACTGAAACAGGGTTGTACAGTACAACGAAACACTTTTAGGCTAGATCTCCAGTGCAATTACAGACAGCATAGTGCAAGACAGGACATAGTGCAAGACAGGACATAGTGCAGGGACATAGAACAATAAATACAGAAAATAAATACAAGTATATACACTGCAGTAGGTGTGCTGGTACTTTAACACTGTTAATATAACAGTAGGTGCAATAGGGTATGTAGAGGGCAGGGAGCAACAAACTATGGGTTAAAGTGCATGGTGCATACAGTCTCTGAGCTGATGGCGATCTGAGGGATAGTAGGGGGAGGACAGAGGTCAGTCTATTAATCAGGTTGAGGTTGGTGTGAAGTAGTGTGAACAGAGGTCAGTCTGTATGAGTTCAGGTTGAGGGTAGTGTAGCTGGTGACACCAGTTTAACAGCACGGGGGAAAAAGCTGTTTCTGAGTCTGGTGGTTCTGGCTCTGATGTTCCTGTACCTCCTTCCACAATGTCAACAACACAACATAGACATTTTATTTACTATCCAAAACCCCCAGTGAACCTACACGAGTCTTCTGAGTTTTTATATGTGATGTTGATGGTGAAATAGTTATAAATCTGAAAACATGAGTTTTCTTTGGGGACTATTTTGCCTTATAACACCCTTCATGTATCACTCCACCATGATTGGATTAAAATAATTTGATTAAAATGTGTTTCAGGCCAAAACTTTATCACAAAACTACCGTAAAACAGTGTCTCAGACATCAGGCAGTGTATTTATAACCATGTCATGTAGTAACTTTCTGTGAGGGAGCTTTTAGAGGTGGACGTCTGTTTCCTATCACCACCACTGTGAACAATTTGGAATAACTAAGTTTCTCTGGAATGGAGCATTTCACACCAAACCTCTCTGAATGATTTTATTTAGTTATGCAGAAATTTTGAAAAATCGGAGAAGTTCCCCTTTAAATAGGTGACTTTTTTTAAACGTATAGTTGTAATGCTGTGAATTGATTTCTCCTATTGTAGTTGTTATTATTGCTTTTGTATTAATAAGAGTAATAAAAAGTACTGATTCAAATACCTAATTTGTTTTGATGAAGTATATTTTACTATTTTGTACACATGTACGTATGTATGTGTGTGTTTTACCCTTTTTTCCTGTGACTGTACCTGCTACCAGACAGCTGTGTGTTTAAAGGGCCCATATCATAAAAACCCATTTTTCCTTCAATTTTTTTTAAACAAAAAAGTTTTAATGCAATATGCAAACTTTGTTTTAAAACATACCATTCATTCCTCAGTCCATACCGTCCATACTGTCCATACAGGAAAACTATGCTGTGAAAACAGCTTGTTTTGCATTCATGGCTCCTGTGATGTCACAAAAACAACATATTTACGTATATCCACCTACTCATCCTACAGCAGTTTAGCCCTGCCAATCCACGTTGAAGTTGTAAGGAGTGTTATATGCTGCATTCAAGTGGTCTCGGGGTTTTATCAATAAAACAAATTTTCCACCTGGAGGCACCACATCAATGCATCTGAAGTCAGATGATGACGTTGGGTACATAGAAATTTTTGATCCAGCACAAAGTGGCAGAGAAACATCAACGCTGTTTCAATCATGGCAGAATAGAAGAAAACAGTCAAACAATGGAAAGCAACCAGATAAACTGCACTAAAGTAATAAATGGTCATGGTAATGTGAATTTTAAACATAAGCAGTTAAAGGTGCAGTGTGTAAGATTTAGGGGGATCTATTAGCAGAAAGGGAACATTGTACACAAAACCATATTTTCATTAGTGTATAATTACCTGTAACTATGCATAACCGCGCCTTTCACGTGTTCATGTTAAAGTGGCAGTTTAAATTTGGTGGCGCTGTAGCTCTGGTTGGTTGCTGCCGGTGCTAGCTAACCACTTTGTGTTGTGAGAAGTTTGAGAACCCACATTTTGACAAATGGAAGATCAAATGTATTATTTAGCACAAGAAAAAGCGAAGGAGAGTGAATCCTCATCATCAAAGAAGCGAAAGGAAATCGGGACAGACGACGGCAGAAAACCTGATGGCCTCCGTAGGTTCTACTACACGCTTGGTGAAGGAGGGGTATTCAGTTGATTGCAATCTGCAACCTCACCACTAGATGTCGCTAAATCTTACACACTGCTCCATTACCCATTACTCACATGTAATTTCTGCCTTCTATGAATTAAAAACACCAGTAAAATAGGCCCAAACTGATAGATGCCCGCAAGCTAATAAACTACAGCACCCATTTCACAACCTCAGTGTTCTGTTTATCTCTCATATAAACCAATCAGACTGTAATCAAGGCTGAAACACTCCTTATAACCTCTTTGTGAATGAATGGAGCTAAACTGCTGAAGGCTGAGTAGGAGGATTTTTACAAAAGACCTCACAAAACAAAGGTGATTCAAAATAAACTTTTTTGCAGTTTACTTTTCATATATGGACTGTATGGGCAATTTATAATACTTTAAAAATGGTAATGTACAATAAATAATAATAATGATATTATAAATTGCAACACTATACATTATATAAATGATTTTATATATACTACTACTACTATTACTACTGCTAATAATAATAATAATAACAATAAATAATAATGTGCAATAAATAATAATAATGATATTATATATTGCAACACTATACATTGTATAAATGATTTTATAAATACCACTACTACTATTCCTACTGCTAATAATAACAACAACAATAATAATAATAATAATAATAGTAATAATAATAATAATAATCATCATCATCATCATCATTATTATTATTATTATTATTAGCCGGTAGTATAACATCGTTGTTATTTCTAATAATTATTTTTATATATTCTTTATATATATATATATCTGTGTGTGTGTGTGTGTGTGTGTGTGTGTGTGTGTGTGTGTGATGTACTTTTATTATTTAAACTACTTTTATTATTTACGTTTTATCGTGTAGTGCTCCGTGCTCTTATTTTGGACAGCGTTCTTCGCCCAGTGTGTTTAGTAGCGGATGGTGCAGGATGGCGATGGAGCCGAATAAAACAGAAATTCTCACGATTTTCAAAAGACTGCGGGCGATTCCCACAAATAAGGTAACGAACACGCTCACAACACGAACATGACTTATTATATCAGCCTGTGTCGTGTTCAGTTCTGGCGTTTGAGCTCTAATTTCGGCGTTTTTAATGTGTGATTACGTGTCAGTTCTCGGTGGTTTGTTAAGCCGGTGCTGATCGAGGCCTTCGTGCTAAATGCTAAAGCTAACGGCGTCAGCTCGCCATACAGTTTACACAGAACAGCGGAGACGTCTGGAGCTGAGGACACGAAGTCGGTTATTCAGTAACAATGGGATCAACACGAGTCACATTTTAGGCTCTTTGGTTCGGGGTTTACGTGAATATTTTGGGAGAAGTCCTCGGGACGTTAATTGGTGAGCTGTGTGTCGTTAGCCGCTAGCTGGCTGGCTAGTGTGTTTCATCAGCCGAAGCGGTGTTTCTTAATCCGGCTCCTGGTTCAAAATCCCTCTTTTTCTGGCGTTTTTCTGTTCTTACTCACCCCATTTTAAGCTTAGAAAGGGCGCTGAGCTAATGAGCTGGGTTAATGTGGATGTCTTAGAGCAGGAAAACTCTAACATTAAAGGGCAGATGAAGCTAAAGTCGGCTTTTATTCGCCCCCGTCCTGTTCGAATTTTCCAGTTCCGCCTTAAACTGCTACCATTTAAGGTGGAACGGGAACCTCAGCTTCGTAAAGGAAAGGCACGAATACAGGAGCAATACTGGAAAACGGGGGCTTAATATTAGAAATGACTGTAATCGTTAAGTTCTTAATGAGGTTAGACGGGGTGTCAATTCAGGAGAAACAGTGCTGTGCGGGGTTAAAACGGGGGAAGGATTGGGAAACATCTGCTTTAGCCGGCTGGACTCTGTTAGCCAGTTTTCCAGGATTGTGAAGCCACGTATGCAGCCAGGCGCCAGCACCTCAGATGACTGAATTACGAAGGAAATACAGGTAGTTCCAGGCTGAGCAAGTGAAAAACAGTCTATGATTTGACGTGATCCGCGTCATCTTTAATCCCCCTTTAGAAATCTGACACGATGAGCTAATAAAGATGTATCGATATGGGAATTCTGGACTGATGGACAATATTTTCCATGTCGATGCTGATGCCAGTACTCACACTTTTCTAAAATGTTTAAATTTGGGCTAAATTCTCCTTACAGACAAATGTGTTTATTTATGTTGCAAATCCAGTAAAATGTACGAAAATCAATGCTCAATTCTGACCAATAATTCAGACAGATATGACGCATCTTGAGGGAGTATTTATTTCCCTCTACCTTTGCCGGTGAAAGGAAGTCAGATATCTAATGTTACTCTTAGGAAGCTGGAAAACAAAAAGCCTGAAGCAACACTTCAAAGCGGTTTTTCAGAAGCCCCTCCCACCTTCAAGATGCGTCACCAGAAGGGGACTTTCCTAATCTTGCTGCGGTTTGCACTTCAAAGTTGTTGGTCAAATCTAAGCGTCAGTCAGATGTTTTGATCCGTTGTATGTCTGTTGTGATATTGTCAGTAGTGTCTAATGTTAGTATTGTTTTTCATTCACAACTAACAAGTACTAACATTAATTGTTAGTAGTTAATAATGTATTGCCTAGCATTGACTATGAAAAATCTCTTTGTCTTGTTGTTGTGGTGTTGATGAGGACAATTCTGTATAAAATAATGGTTGTGTATAGCTTTTAATATTTCCAATTTGCAACAAAAGTCGTCTGGAATACTCGTTTGTAACAGCTGCTTAAAGGGCCCATATCATGGAAATCTGAATTTGTTTTCATTTCTTTAAAATGAGTTTATTGTAGTTTGTAAACACGGTTAAATATTCAAAATGTACCCTTCACTCACCCGTCTATACAGTCCGTTTAGGGAAACAAAGCTGAAAAACACCCTGATTTAAATTCACTGTTTCTGTTATGGCACAAAAAATCAACACATTTACACACATCCACCTTTTCATCCTACAGTTTAGATCCACCTGTTCATGCTGAAGTTATAAGGAATCTTTCAGCCCAGACTGCTTTTAAATGAGGCACAATACTGGGCAGCCAATCAGAACAGATATCATTTACATACCTTAAAGGCACAGTAACAAAAACAGCCTGTTAAAAGAATAGAGGCTGGAAAATTGTCGTGTAAAGAATTATCACTGTTTTGGGGCACAAAACCATAGAAACATAAGTGGATCTCAATGAGGAAAACGAAAGACATGAATAATGTAGGATAAGGCTGTTTATTAAAGCCCTGTGCAAGTATAACATGTCTATACAGGTGGATTTAAGTAGTTTGTGTTTTGCTGTGGATGGCTGAGCATGTTGATGTGCGTATAATGCCGGACCAACATGCCATGCATCACTGAGCTGCAGCATTAGGTCTGGAGGACTCGGTAAGGTCAAGAGTTTATTGACACGCTTGCTGAATGTGCCTTAGTTGTATTTTTCTCTTTAAAAAGGCTTCTTGGTGCAGGCTGGTGAAGTTTTCTGCATTGTTGTCATAGTTACTTAGCTGTTTTCTGAGCTGTCCACTTCACCCTGCACAGTGGCTGCTAATGTCTTCAGAATTAAGCTTTCCAGAACTGTCTGGCTCTTGGCAGGGATGTAAACCACTCCACTGAGAACTGAAAGAGATTGTAGAAAAAGTGAGAGTACAAAAATACGTTAAAATTACGGATGCATGATGATATCAGATCATATCAGCATACACACGCTTAAAAAGAATAATAAAGAAGAGTATGGACTACTAGATGATGATGATGATGATGATAATAACAAGAAAAGAAGTGATCACAAAATAATAATAAAATATAAAAACAATCAGCGTCAGACATGTTTAGGTTTAGCTGATTTTTTACACTGATATTTAACGTATTGCAGTCTAGAAGAGCAGAATGTTGGTTGCTGTACTAAAATGCCAATGTTTTATTAATTTTCCTGTATTTGTAACACTACAGAAATAAACTTATCTCTGTAATGTCAGTCCAGGCGAATGTAATGCCAGTATCTACATTTTATACATTGTCACTGTCAGGACAAACCTTGTATCTCCAAAAATGTTCATTTACAGAAGAAGGAAAAACGTTCTTAACTTTCAGTGCAAGTTACTTTAACAGGATTTTGTTCTAAGCAATTTTGGATCATTTCTGTTTGTCTTGAAGTTTTGACAAAGTGTAAACAGCTGGTACTTTCCAAATTGTGTTAAATGAAAAACTTCAAAAATGGATATGCTAGGTTTTGTTCCGACAGTGACAGTGTTTACGGTCATATGCGAAAGTTTGAACACCCCTGGTTAAATTACTTGTTTTGTTGATTTTCAAAGTAGGGCAAATTTGTACAGAGAATAAACTTGGAGGAATTCCATGTGGTTAAGATGTAAACCGCCATTCAGTGTGGTTTTAGGTGAAATTCTTTGTTCTAGAGAAACTTGCAGAGTCAGAACTGTTCAGTGATGCTGATAGTAACCAGATGTCTGAAGAGTTCAATCCTTTAAAATCTCCCTCACAGAATGTATTACGTAATTTTGGAAAATTGGTGAAATTGCCCTTTAAGTGGGCATTCGTCTGGACATTTTAGTGCATGATTTCTTATTTGCTGAGTTTTGCATACTGGAAAAAATAAAGCATGAAATATAAAATGCGCCATATGTTTTTTTAACAGGCCACATTTTATGTTTTGTTTTATCCCCAGTATGTTAAATTCAGCAAATAAGCAGTAATTGTGCATTGAATTGTGTTCTCTGTAGAGGATGTGTTCACTTATTTTCACTTAGGAACTCTACAAAACGTAATGTGACCTGGGCACCCAAACTTTTGCATACGACTGTAGTATCGGCCTCGGTAGACATGTACATGAAAACGTATCTGCGTCAACTCAGTTCCCATTTTGGTGTGTCACTAATTAAAACCTAAGAACATTTTAATGCAAATTAAATATTATCTAGTGTTTGATCCCAGTGTGTACATACAAAACCACACTAAAGACACTCTGATCTCGTTGTAATAACACCTCCGCTCTAGTACTTTGGGAAGGTCATATTAAATTGTGCATGAATGAAAAGTTTGCATAGATTGTGTGCTCAGGGGACGAGCGCCTTCACAACCTCTGTTAATCTTTTAAACTCATCTTTCCTCCCAGGCCTGCTTTGACTGTGCTGCTAAGAACCCGAGCTGGGCTAGTATTCCTTATGGAGTTTTCCTTTGCATTGACTGCTCAGGGATCCATCGTTCACTGGGTGTTCACCTGAGCTTCATCAGGTTTGTGTTTGGATCCGTCTGTTTACTGTACTGTCTGTTACGCTGTAATCGGAACCGATAGTCATCAAGGGGTACATTACTGACATTCAGGAGACCCATATGAATGTTGTTGATGAGACACTTAATCATCAGAACTTGGTGTGTTAGTGCTGGATGGTTTAAGAGGGAATTCAACCAATTCTTTAGTAATTTGTATATAATTAAATGGCAAAATGTAAACAGTCATTCAGAGTGGTTTGATGTAAAATTTGTTGTTCTAGAGAAAAGAGTGAGAATCTTTCACAGTGGTGATGGGAACTAGACGTCTGAAGAGTTTAATGCACCTTCACAGAAAGTTATTATACAAAATGGTTATGAATATGCTGCCTGATGCCTGAGACATCGTTTTATGAGAAGGATTTTGGTCCAAAACTTTTTTTTAAGTCAATTTGTGAGGTACAGACAGGGTTCTGCTAGACCAACGTATGTTTCAGGTTTACTATTAACTTTACCATCGTCAACGTGACATATAAAAGCTCAGAAGACACATGCAGATTCGCATGCAGTTTTGAGTAGTAAATAAACGACTATTTTATCTTGACCCCTGGTTCCTATCACCACTGTAAAGAAATCCAAGTTGCCACGTTTCTCTACAGTGAACCATTTCACACCACTTGGAATGACCCAGTTTACATCTCCACGATTGAACTATGCAGACATTTTGTAAAATCAGTGGAATTTCTCGTCACAGTATCATATATTTGTTTGTATTACCAAAGAATGAAAGAATGTCTTACAAACCCAACTCAGACTGTTTTGTTCAGTTTCATTCCTAATTTGCACAGTTTTTCATTTATCTTAGATGTAGTCTATCTGCCAAGACATGTTTGGAGTACAAATTTAGCTTCTTTTGCTTAGCACTGGAGCTAAATGGCTAACATTGCTAACACTAGAAGTCAATAGTCACCCCAATCTTTGATGTAAATACATCCCCAAAACTCAAACGGCAGACTTGTCAGTGTTTAGGGCACAGTATGACTTACTGTGAACTATAATAATGAACAAAACTGCACTATATAGCTGAATTCAATTTAGTTTCTTTTTATAAATAACTATTTATCTTGAATCTTTGAGTTGAACTGTCATTGTAGATAGAAACATTGAAAATTATGTGAATTTAACTGCTTCCATTCTTTCAAAATGACACCAAAAGGAACCTTTCATAGTAAACTTTAACTAGGCAGAAAACATTTTTATAGAGACTTTCTATTACTTTTATTGTTCAAACCATTCTGAAGCACCAATCAAATGACACACATGAATTTGTCATCTTTTGATATTGAAGCATTGAAAATCAGTGAATGCGTCTGCATGCTCTTAATAATCCGATAACTGCAGAAAATCAGATTTTGTCAGTAATCTGATCAACATGCACTTGAGTAATCAGATAATGGGAAACTCTTCGGTCTACGTGAGTCAGACAGTAATCAGATTTCTGCTTTGAAACCAGCCAATAAACGTAGAGAAGAAGACGTGAACTCAAACTTCATACCGCCTGTTTTTTATTTATTTATTTATTTTTGTTCTTTACCTGAAAATATGAACATACATCATCTAGAAGATGAAGAATACTTAAATCCATTAAACCAAGCGTTTATTTGGTTTTAGTGTTGCTCCAAAAGTGTTTTGCTGCGTCTCGCGGCAGCGCTGACTGCTAGTTTTCGGTACCGCCGTCTGTTTTTGCGCATGCGCAGACTGAGAAATCTGAAAGAAATCAGAGTAAGAGTTTACATGCACTGAGAAATATGATTACTGAGCTAAGATCCAGCTCTCTTTATTGGATTTCATAATCAGATTTCTGGACCTACTCCCAACTAGAAAATCGGAGTATGCTGTTTACATGACCATTTGAATAATCAGATAACTGCCGAAATCAGATTATGATCAGATCTTCGAATGCATGTAAACACACTCATTGTTGTGGGACATCAGTATTGATATGCTGGCATGGATGATCATATTGCCCAACACTAGCGAGCGGACAGTTTAGACAAAACAGTGTGTACAGAAAATGTGATCTGTGTTTTTTTTTACTGAATGATTTGTTGCTGTTTTCAGATCCACGGAGCTGGACTCCAACTGGAGCTGGTTCCAGCTGAGATGTATGCAGGTCGGAGGGAATGCTAATGCGGTGGGTTCTCCTACTGAGCATTACTAAGGCTCAAAACGTTTTTGTGTTAGTGAGTGAAATGCTGACTTGTGTTCTCGTCCTCTGGGAATCCTCTCTGGGTGCAGACGGCCTTCTTCCGCCAGCATGGCTGCACGACCAACGACACCAACGCCAAATACAACAGCCGTGCGGCACAGATGTACCGGGAGAAGATCCGACAGCTAGCCAACGCTGCTCTGTCCAAATATGGCACTGATGTAAGCTGCAGTACTGACAGCTTTAGCGACTCACATTAGGCCAATATTAATGGCCAGTTGTACTATTGACAGTGACAAATGTTCTGTCGTCACTGAAAGATTATATGTGCAAACCCAGATTTTCTTCCTACTACATTTAAGCATAAGTACAGACAATAACACGTCATATTGAATGCCTTCCACAGCTTTCGCTACTCAGTTGATGATTCTCTTTATTTGCTTTAATGTGTTTATCAAAAAGAGAACTCTTCTGATTTTTTTTTCAGAATTTCTGCATAATTAAATACTTAAGATGTGAACAAAGTCATTCAGAGTGGTTTGATTTAAAGTTTTCTGTTCTGGAGAAAAGAGTCAGAATCATTCACAGTGGTGATGATAGGAACCAGACATCTGAGGAGTTTGAGTTTAAGCTACCACACAAAGTTATTACAAAAAAAGTTTGCAAAGTTTGCATTGACTGATGCCTCAGAGATCATTTTATGATTTTTATGAAGTTAAATGGGCTTTTAAAACTAGTACTAAAGTATTAGTAATAAAAGTACATACTAAAACAAAGTAAAAGATTTTTTCACTATCGCTTTTTTCCGCTGTTTATCATTATTAACATTAACATGTAGGATCGCTAGTGGTTTTGGATAGTAAATTAAATGGCTATATATTGTAGATAATGTGACGTTACGGTGCATCATTTCAAATTAAAATATTTTGAATTGCTTTGTTCACATCTCAGTTGAATATGCAGAATCTTTGAAAAATCGGTGGAATTCTCTTTCCTTAAATCTTAATGAAATAAATCACATTCTGGTATCACCTATACATTTATGATGATCTTTAAACATCTTTACGCTCTGTATTTACTAGTATTATTTGGACGTTATGTATTATGTACCTTTGTTTATTACTGTTTTTGGACAGCTATAGATTTAGACACTGATTCCACTGTGAAAGTTATCTGTATCTGTCCGCTGGACGCCGTGTGGCAGTACGTACACAGCGGTACACAATCATGTTTTTCCTCTCATGCTGTTTCCACGTTCACAGCTTCAGCTAAACTTTGGCCCTGTGAGTCACTAGACCACTGGATCAAACTCCACTTTATATCAGCGTTGTTTAGTCTTACCTTCCCCATAGATTATGTCTGATGTAATCAGTCTGTGCTTAGAGTGTTTTGCTGAAACAGCAGGTGCTGATATGTTATGAGAGTGTTTGTGCTGTTGGTGATGATATTATTTGTACCCCTTAGCTGTGGATCGATAATACAGGACACGTTCATTCCCCGACTGCAGAGAAGAAAGAGGCGGATTTCTTTGACGAGCACACTCAGGTGAGCTGCACGCGGTCATGTTTGCTCTGGTGTTTACCCTTTAAGACTGAACAATGCTGCCATTAAACTTTGTTCATTTTTCAAACGGTTGTAATCAAATTCCACATTAACTTTGAGAAGCTGAGATTTCTGGCAAAATCCATTATAATGTGTAAACTACTGTGAAGCCAGTATAGATTGGGCCAAGGCTTTCAGAGTCCTCTGCCCTCTAGATCACAGTGGGTATAGACTGATGATCGGTAGGGATGTGCATTGTTTCTGCTGCTGTCGGAACAAAACCTCACATCTCCATTTTTGTCTCTTTTCAGTTTTTGCCATAATTTGAAAGTACCTGCTGCGCTTTATATTGATGGACCAAAACAAATGGCCCAAAATGACTGGGGGGTGGGGTCTGGTTCCCTTGACCTACATGAAAAGTAGTTTTTATTGAATGTTTTTTTCCTTCTCCTGTAAATGTATTATTTTGGAGATATGAAGTTCTGTTCCTACAGCAGCGATATATTTACATATACACCCACAGACACACACCATATACAGTGTAAGTGTCAGGAAAAAGACTTTGACCGACATCTATGTATTGTAAAACGTTATTTTCCCACTGCAGTAAACGTTCCACCATTTGGTGGTGCTTTTGTTTTGTCAAAAGCGGGACAGGAAAATAATTAAAGGAAATATTGACTGAGCAGAAAAAGCTGTTAAATGTCCTAAATAGAGGTGCAGATGCCCATATGGCCACTTTGAAGTTTGTCTTAAATGTTTACAGTAATGGTTTGGCTAAAAATGAAATTTATACACCTTCTCACTTGTTGTAGTCAGTCTGCTAAGACATGGTTGGAGTCCATATTTTGTTTTTTTAGCATAGTACTGGAGCAGCAAGGCTAGCATTGCTAACAAACACTAGAATTCAGTAGTCACCCAAATAGCCCAAGTTGTTTCTGTAAATGTACATCACCAAAACTTCTTTCAACCCAGTCAGACCACATACAGGTCTTCATTAAAGTTGTACAGACTTGTCGATGTGGTTGACACAATATGACTTAGTACGAACAATAAAAACTTGTGTAAATTAGATTTTTCACCAAATTATATCTAAACTACTCGAGATGGCATGATGCCACTTTTTCTTTTCCGATACTCATATTAACCTATGCCAGCTGTTGGCTGACACTGATCCAGTATTTCTTTTTTAAAAACTACAAAGCTTTAAAATGAGCTGTTTGTAATTGAAATGCTTCACTTAAGATGCACATCAAGAAGTAGCCTATGATGCTGAAATCACTCTACTACCCCACGGGTAGAACTACACAGCTAACAGTGAGAGTGAGTGCTGGATTCGTTCTGTTACAGGATTCGTTCTGTTTATTACAGAATTAGTGCTGTTTCAGGATAGATTCGTTACAGGATTCGTTCTGTTTATTACAGAATTAGTGCTGTTTCAGCATAGATTCGGTACAGGATTAGTGCTGTTTCAGGATAGATTCGTTACAGGATTTGTTCTGTTTGTTACAGAATTAGTGCTGTTTCAGGATAGAACGAATCCTGTAACGAATCTATCCTGAAACAGCACTAATTCTGTAATAAACAGAACGAATCCTGTAACGAATCTATCCTGAAACAGCACTAATTCTGTAATAAACAGAACGAATCCTGTAACGAATCAGTTTGTTACAGGATTAGTGCTGCTTCAGGATAGATTTGTTACAGGATTCATTCTATTCGTTAAAGGATTGGTGCTGTTTCAGGATAGATTTGTTACAGGATTCGTTCACATTCTTTCTTTTTTCCCCCTTTTAAAAACTACAGCCAAAGGAAAGACCTTTTTTCTTTATTCATATAACTAAATTGTCATGTTCATGTTCAGCCTGCCACCAGCTGGGACATGGCCTCCCCTTCCCTGTCAGAGCAGAATGGAGCCATCACCGTCAATTCCCAACTGGAACAGGACGGTCCCAGAATGGCTGAGACTGTTGCTGCTCGTGAGTCTGTTTCCATACATATCATCCTGGTGCAGCTATATGCAGGCATAAATGCACACATACACAATAATAGGGCTGAAACTGTTGGTTACTAATTAAATCAAGTAATATATTGATTATTTTGAAAATACTGCAAGTAATCTGAGTTTTTCAAATATTCTAAAGTGTTTTATAATTTTTATTAAAGTATGGTACAATTATGTAAAACACACTGTGGAAAAAGCTGCGTGTAAATGAGTGTGTATCAATTTCTTATTGTGCAGTACCAGAATAAAAAGTGCATTATCCACACACATTGCCACTAATTGTTGTAGGTATGTAGGTAATTCAGTATGTGTGTAGGTTTGTTGTTTTTTAAATCTCTTAATCATTACAGCCCTAATTAATATCTCCATTTCAACTCTTCCAGAACTAGATGAAGGCCCCAGCATTGAAGGGTTAGGCACAGATGCAAAAGCCCCTATAGGTGAGTGTTTGTCAGTTTCTGTGAGTAGTTTTGTTTATGTAAAGTGCTGTGAAAATGTCTTAGGCAGTCTTGGAAAAATATATAAAACTTTTTACAGTCGTATGGAAAAGTTTGAACACAAAGTTTGTCAAATTAAATTTTTGTTGATTTTCTAAGTGAAAATAATTTAACACACATTTTGCAAATTTTAGTAAGCATTCATTTGTTTAAAAAGCATATTGGAATAAAAACAAATGAACACACATCTTGCAATTTCTACTTGCTAAAGGGGTGCCAAAACTCGTATGTGTGTGTGTGTGTTTCTAGGCAGTGAGCATTCATTTGTTTAAAAAGCATATTAGAATATAAAAACAAATAAACAATACGTTATGATGTGCAATTATGTTACCTTAAACGTCTCATGGAGAAAGTTCAGTATTTACAGTTACCATCCACAACACAGTTTACCTGTTTAATCTTTCATTTAATTAAATTGGGTGCTGGGCAGGGAATTTAATGAATCCATGCCGTGTCTGGAGTCCAACAAGAAGTGAGGAACCACACCTGTAGACTAACTAAAATATTAAGAACTTAATAAAACAAAAAATCTTTGTTTATTTAACATTAGATTAAATGCGACCAAGCATAGTGGTATAGTGGCAAAAACACACTTGCTGCCAATATAAATATCCTGAACCCTGTTTCGTAGCTGTTTAAGACTTTTGCCCAGTACTGTATATATATTGTATTATGTGTATACATAATGATTATAGCGTGAATATTGCATTTGAGCACTTTTTTGAGTACTAAATGGTGCTACACAAAAATGTATCCCTGCATTTATGCCTCCCACCACACTCACTCAGACCAAATTCATCAGCGTGAAATATATTGAGGTTTTTTGTATCTACATAACTGCCATGTCAGTGAGTCCCCTCAAACATTTGCACCATGGAAGAAGTGGTTAACCTTACGTGTGACCACAAATACAAAGAAAAAGCTCAGTGACTCTGTGTGTGGACAAAATTTGGCAAATGGTAACTTTACAGGAGAAGACAAATACATTCTCAAGCTTCAGTGTAAGTTAATATGAAGAGATTTTATTCAAAGTGATTTTGGATCATTTCTTTTGGTCCATTCCTCGTAAAATTTTCACACAATATAAACAGCTGCTGTGCTCAAATGAGGTAGAAGGGTTAAGCACAGATGCAAAAGCCCCTATAGGTTTTCTGTTGTCTGCATAACTGCTGTGTCACTGAATCCCATCAAACATTCGCACCGTGGAAGAAATGGTCAACCTCACATATGACCACAAATACAAAGAAAAATCTCAGTGACCGTCGGTGTGAGATTTTATTCCAAGGGATTTGGAGCGTTTCTTTTGGTCCATTCATCATATAATTTTCACACAATGTAAAGCAGCTGCTGTGCTCAAATGAGGTAAAAAAATAAAAATTTACAATTAATACTTACCTTTTAAAATAATTAGTCTGATAACAGTATACAGAGAGTAAAAAATAGAGTACTATTACTGGATTTATCTTGAATTCATTAAATTTGTTTAATATCAAATAAATCATTCAGATTTGTTTTCTAATAATTCAAACAGACATCATTGTATATTCAAAGAAAACATTGTTTTAGTCAGTTTACTAAAGTTGGGTCCCAGTATTGTTCATGTTTCTGATACTAAATATGTCATAAATATGTCCCAGTACAGAAGGAAAATGCCTTATGACCAAACACCTTAACTGAGTAACAAGAAACTGTGTCCAGAATCTCAGAGATTGGAAAAAAGATCGTTTTGATCGGGCATGCAGTTTATGAACTTTAGCCACCTGACAGTAGTGGAGACAATGAAGAGCCATTATCAGGCTTGTGTAATTTGAATTAGATAAGAGATTCCTCTGCTAATTCTCTGTAACAGCCATCTCTGCTCTGTTAATGCAGATGACTCAATGAAATTGGCGCCTGATGAGCCTGAGCCTCTTAAAGGTGATTTGAACGATTTTGAATTGGCTGGGTGCCTCCTGGCTGGCTGGATATCAGCAGCATGTTTCTGTGCTTGATTGACGCTTGGGTGAAGTGTGGCACGCCTGCTTTTAGCCCACCTTTCTCTCTCTCTCTCTCTCTATATTAAACCAGCAGTTTTCCAACACCCTGCATTTTATTAACGGCTGAAAATTTACGACCAATTCACTGATCGTCTTTTGTAATTCCTTTGCAAGCTCAAAAGCTGCACTGGAACTTGCTTATTTTGTGTCGAACGTGATGCTACGCTGCAGATATTTTTTATCTGTCTTATAAACCTGTGAATTGAAAGTGTAATTGTCTTTTTTGTTAATAATGTAATCAACGCACAAACTTAGAATCCAAACTAGCTGATTATCTATCTTGGCTGTTGATACATAGTAGCTCCCAACTGATAACAGACACAGGTTAAGCTCAAATAAACAAACATTACCTCTTAAAATATGAAAACTAACAACTGGAACATAAGCATTGTTAGCTTATAGAATGTCTGTCGTCTCAAATAATCAGTCAGTAATTGTGTGATTATTGTGACGGTTCTATTAATGACAATAACTTTAAACAGAAATATTATTTTAGTCTCATGTCCTTCAAAACAGGCGAACAAGGTGCTACTTTCTAGCATTCTAGCATCTTTTAAAGAACCTCCCTGTGTTTCCACCAGCTTGCTTGATTGGATGTGGGTGTTCCTTTGCCTAGAATCTGGCACATCAATTTTTTTTCTTCATGAAACACCCAGTGAAAACAGTGAGTGCGTTTACTTGCACTCAGTCATCCGATCATAATCGAATTTCTGCAGTTATCTGATTATTCAAATGGTCATGTAAACAGCACACTCTGTTTTCTTAGATTGGAATAAGGCTTAGAAATCCAATTAAAAATCCAACAAAGAGCTGGATTTTAGCTCAGTAATCATATATTCCAGTGCATGTGAACTCTTACTGATTTCTTTCGGATTTCTCAGTCTGTACATGTGCGAAAACTGACCATGGTACCGGAAATCAGCAAGCAGCGTCGCTGTGAAAGCAAAACGCTCTTGGAGCGACGCTGAAACCAAATACATGCTTAACGAGAAGAAGGATTTAAATATTCATCTTAAAACAGCATGAAGTTTGAGTTCTACATTACATTTATGTCGCGTCGTCTTCTGTGAGTTTATTGGCTGGTTTCAAAGCAGAGATCCGATTACAGCCTGACTCATGTAGACCTGGAGTTTCCCCATTATTTGATTTCTCAAGTGTCACGTGTTGATTGGATTACTGCCAAAATCTGATTTCCTGCAGTTATCGGATTAAGTGCATATAAACGCACTCTGATGACACATGATCATATGGAACGACTTATATTTACATTGATTTCACCGGATTAACGGACAACAAAATAAAACAGAAGATGACTAAAGCTTTTTGTTTTGTCACTTTCCTGAGGCACAACAACAAACGTGAGATTCCCACAGCTAATGTTTCTGTAACCAGCTGTTTTAACTACCCAGCTAATGCTAACAGCTGTTTAAACAGCTGCTTGTGCCACTGTTTATTGTTCTTTAGCCTGCTGTTATTGTGATTTACGTAGCAAGTGGCTGGTGAGACATCAAGTACGCTAAAACTGAAGTGGCTGCTTAAACATTCACTTTTGAAAGCTTAGCATATCTAAGTGTATAGAAAAGAACCCTAGATTATACGGATAAAAGACAGATATATAGATATAAGCAGAAAGAACGGCAGTGACAGTTGGAAAGGATACAAAGATGATAAAAATGCTGCAGAGATGTAAATAACACCCTGCGGATGACTTGATAGCGAGAGAATGTGTTGCGTGCAGCTTTGTTTTTGAATTGCTTGGTGCAGGCAAATCGTGTTGCAGGCAACTCGCAAAACATGCAGCTAGTTGCATGAAGGTTTCACTGTGTAAAGCTGCCCTTGGACATTGTTTGGTGATCCCTATACTTTCTTTTAAGTTGTTGTTTTTTATGATTTGCTCTATTGTTCAGTTATACCCAGCTATATACATCTCCTCTTGTGTTACCACATAAACCCTGGTTACATGGCTACAGATTAGATGGTCTATGAAATATTGCAGTTCTTTGTAGTGCTACTTTTTTTGCAAAATAAACTACTTTAATGAGAACAGCGTTACCTTTTTCCACCACCCTGTCATTTTTTGCATGGTTTCATACAGGTTTTATGAAACCATGAAAATAATGAAAGGAACTGGTACGAGCATTGCGTGGAAAGATGGGTGTTTCAGTTAAATTTGGTATTCAGATTTGTAAGGCATTATTTGAAAAATACTTGAAAAAACTTTTAATTTAAAATGTTCGTGTAAACCCACAATTGCTAATCATCTGTTACCTAGAGGTGGGCGATATGGCAAAAATGTAATATAATACTTTTTTCACATTTTCACGATACACAGTGTGTCATAATATTTTTTCTGATATTTAGCAAATGCTATCAAAACTATTAAACCAGTTACATGTATTGAACATTTCACATACTGTGCTGCAATAAAGTCAGTTAACCAGGACTAATTATCTTGTTAATCAAACGAGCAGTTGGGGAGACCTTTTTAAGTACTGATGATATCCATGGTCTGCTCAGAAAAGTGTTTTGTAAAAATTTGTGATAAATTTAACATGATAACAATAAGTAATGACGTATTGCCAAGCTCTGTGGTTACCTCAGCTAACGTTGGTAATCTAGTCACTTCGTATTCCACCTTGTACCTCTTATCTTGAAAACAGTGAGTTTAGTCTAGTGAGCTGACACCAATCCTTATGAATTCTCTGAATGATGTGATTTTATTCCATTAAATATTTACAGGTGTAGTATAAACTGACCTTAAGTTTGGTGTTTTTTGTGCTTTTCTGTGATAATTTCTGTGTGCTTTAGCTGCACTTTACTTTTTGATCCGAATCGCCTTGTCCAGTGTGTGTGGTAGCCTTTAGACAGCTGCAGTAGTCTTTCCAGCGTAAGACTCAGACTCTACACTCCCTTCTGTTGGAGTCTGGAGTTCAGACATCACGTGGTTCTTAAAGGCAAATTCCAACAATTTTTCAAAATTTCTGCATAATTCCGTGGTTATGGTGTAAACAAAGACCCACACAGTGGTTTGATGTGAGATTCTCCGTTTTAAAGAAACTTAACTCTGATTTCTTTTCAGTGGTGTTTTTAGGAACCAGTCATGATCTCTATAATGCAAATATAACTGTTTTATTTGCTGTCCAGTGAACCTACGTGCGTCTTCTGAGCTTTCTATATGTAATGCTAATGATGGTAATATATTAAAAAAAAAGGTTTCTTTGGTGACTATTTTGAATGAATGAATTGAAAAAAATAAGTGTGTATTAGTGTGAAATCTTATCTCAAAACTATCATAAAACAATGAGGGAGCTTTTAGAGCCTGTTAACTCTTCAGACGTCTGGTTCCCGTCACCACCACTGTTCCCATCATCTCTAACTCAGTAAATTTCTCTAGAATGGAGCATGTCATTTCATCCTAACCACTAAATTATGCAGAAATTTTGAAAGTTTTCATTGAATTCCCTTTTAAATATGTGAGCGTATGTTAGGGAGAAAGTAACTGACTTATCAAAAATCCTAATTTACCTTTAATTTTCATTTAAGACTCTTTGACAGTTCAGACTTGTTCCTACACTGCTAGAAATAAAGGTTCTGTGCAGGTACATTTTTCATTACTCAAGGTACAAACAATGGAAATGTTCCCTCAAAGGTACAACAGTGGTTTTAAGGTCCAATTGTGCACCTTAAATAAGTTTTTCCAGGTGAAAAGTTCGTATTTGTACATTTTCATAACCGAATGTTTTAAAACAGAACAGTAAAATAAAAGCCTGGAGACGAGACGGGGTGTGTGGAGTCAGTACAACTTAGAACATATCATTTCAGTGGATTGTGGTACAGTTATGTTCCCTGACTAAAGGTACTGAGATGTACCCTTGAGGGTATCAGCCCAGTGACAAGAGGGGCTCTGCCCCAGTGACAGTTTAGTACCTTTTTTCTGAGAGTGTAATTGCAAGTATTCCAACCAGCATGTCGCCTTGACTTGTGTTCAGATTTATGACGTGGCCTGCAGACTTCAGCTCAGCATTGTCCAACCCTTCTCCTGGTGATCTGCTCACCTGCAAATCTTAGTTCTAGCTCTAATCTGACACCTAATCAGAGGTTGGGGACATGTGAACATTAAAGACAGGTGAGTTGAGTTAGGGTTGGAGCTGAACTGTGTTGGAGGTTGGATCTCTAGAAGTTGGGTTGGACAGCCTGGATTTTTCTCCTCAGTTCGATTTGAACACTGGTATAATGAGCTGTAGTAGACAAATGCTAAAGTCCGCACATCCAGTGCATTAGTTTCACTGCTAGGGCTAATGGTCACTGATCTCATCAAAAGCACTTCAGCAGGACCGCTCCTCTCTGTTCTCGGGGGCTTGTTATCTTAAAGTCTTTCCGAATAGAGCCCAGGCACACAGAGGTCCACTGAGAATTAATGTACTGGAATAATGAGATTAGAGATGCTTTCTTTCTCGTTCGATGGATGGACTGCATATTTGCTTGTGTGCTTAATCAGGCCTAACGTCTCCATTTGTTCCCTCTAGTGGGTCTCTAAGTTTAGCCCACTATAAAGTCTTTGTCTAAAGAGTGTGGACGTCATCATTGCCCTTAAAAAATGGCGTTATGTCAAGAGAACTGCAGCCTTCATCTGTTATTCTTGTACAGTTTTAAATTCTGTGATCAGGGATTTGGGGATTGTGTGTTGGCTGTTTTCCTACTGGCTTGATTTTCTCAAAGCGTTGTGTTTTGTTTTGGCTTTTTTCTTCACACTAATAGGGCTGTCACTATTGATTTATATTAGTAGTAGAGTAGGCTGCCAATGGTTGTGCCGATTAATCAAGTAGTTGGAGTTATTAAAGATTAAACAAAGATGGGCAGAACTGAGCAGCAACAAAATATGGATAGTCTTTAAAGGATTCTAAAATACTTTGCTGGTAAACAACAAACTAAGAAGCATTTAAAGAGTCCATATCCTACATTTTTCTTCCATTTTAACCTCCCCCAGGTCCATGTATGACTTTTGTGTAGTTTTATATATCAAAAACAGTCATAATACATTTTAAGTGACCATATTCCAACCTTTTTTAATCCTTATTATTAAACAGGCTGGGACTGTGCCTCTGACGGCTATACACTGATCAGGCATAACATTCTGACCACGTCCTTGTTTCTACGCTCATTGTCCATTTTATCAGCTCCACTTACTATATAGGTGCACTTTGTAGTTCTACAGTTACAGACTGTAGTCCATCTGTTTCTCTGCATACTTTGTTAGCCCCCTTTTAACCTGTTCTTCAGTGGTCAGGACCCTCATGGACCCTCACAGAGCACGTACTATTTGGGTGGTGGATCATTCTCAGCACTGCAGTGAGACTGACGTGGTGGTGCTGTGTTAGTGTGTGTTGTGCTGGTACGAGTGGATCAGACACAGCAGTGCTGCTGGAGTTTTTAAACACTGTGTCCACTCACTGTCCACTCTTTTAGATACTCCTACCTTGTCAGTCCGCCTTGTAGATGTAAAGTCAGAGACGATAGCTCTTCTGCTGCTGCACAGTTTGTGTTGGTCATCCTCTAGTCCTTCATCAGTGCTCACAGGACGCTGCCCACAGGACACTGTTGGCTGGATATTTTTGGTTGGTGGACTATTCTCAGTCCAGCAGTGACACTGAGGTGTTTAAAAACTCCAGCAGCACTGCTGTGTCTGATCCACTCAGACCAGCACAACACACACTAACACACCACCACCACGTCAGTGTTACTGCAGCGCTGAGAATGATACAGAACAGTCTGTAATTGTACTACAAAGTGCACCTATATAGTAAGTGGAGCTGATAAAATGGACAGTGAGCGTAGAAACAAGGACGTGGTCATAATGTTATGCCTGATCGGTGTATGTAAATGCCCTCTGTTCTGATTGGTTGCTTTGTAATTTGCTGCATTTACAAAGCAGTCCAGATTAAAGTACTCCTTAAAACTTCAGCCTTTATGTTGAGGCTAAACTGCTGTAGGATAAACAGGTGATGTGTATATAGATGTGTTTTTGTGACATCATAAAAACAGTGAATTCAAAACAGACTGGTTTTGCAGATTAGTTTCCATGTATGGACTTGTGAATGGTGTGTTTTGAAACTTGGACAGTGTTTACATACTTCATCAAACTATGGTCACACTTTATTTGGGTGGTCCTCTATAAAGGATCTACAGATACTTTTATTATTAACAAATGTTCTGGTGATACTCAGTTGACCATCAACAACATTATGGTTAGGGTGAAGTTTAGGAGTAGGTTTAGGGTTGAAGTTAAGGTTCTGGTTAGGTTTAGGGTTAGATTTAATATGATCTTCCACACTCAATTTCAAGTTCAGTTGCATTTCATTGATATTTAGTTGAATGTTAGTTAAAAAGAGACTGAGGAACTACAAAGCATCTACAGTGGACCATCCAGATAAAGTGCTACCCAAACTTTTCTTCTGAAAAGCAAAGATTTTCCATGATATGGGCCCTTTTAAAAGGGCTCCAGGGAGATTTGCTTAAAAAGTCCAGTGGCTAATCATTGAGTAATCATTGCCAATTCGTCGAGCTGGTACATTGTAATCGCTTATTTATTTGTATTTTTTTTAAAACTGAGTAACAGAGTGTGACTAAGTAATTGTGGCAGCCCTAAATACTAATGATGTCTGTCTCAGTGTGGTGTGCTCCAAATTCTGATAAACAGGACAGAACTCTGTCCAGCTTTGGAAAGAGTCGGGTTGGAAATGAAAAATCTGTCTTCTTGTTTTTTTAGAAGCGAGACCCTCCATCATAGGAAAGAAGAAACCCACCACTGCAAAGAAGGGGGTAGGTGTTATGATTCTAATTGCGTCTTTGTCCACCCAGATCTCCCTTTGGAGCCTGCTCATGATGCAGCGGCACTCTCATTTAACCAGCAGGTGGCAGGCTTGCATTAGACATTGTTGCCCACACAAAGTCCAAGCATTAAAAGCCCCTGTGATGTTTCCAACAGCCTAAAGAAAAGCATATCGGTGTTACTTCCATAACAATTTGTTACTTAAATAGACTTCAACAGATTTCATTTTTTTTTAAAACCAAGCTTTGAGTAGTCAGTGTTTTTCAGCCTAGTCTCTTAACTGCCACATCTTTGGCATACAGTCGATTCCACAGACAGTAATTTTGATACATTACCCTGTACTTACTAAAAAAACAAAGCCTGACTTGAATAGAAGCCAGTAGGCAGTTGCAGAAGCTACAGCACAACAAATGCATGTTAGATTGAAAAATGCAGTGCGACTCTTTAATTCACTTGTGTGTATCAAGACTCTCTTCTCCCTTTTTGACAATTACAGATTATCTTGAATTGTTTATGTCCCTGTGTGAGTCTTTCCCTCATATCTCTGTGTTTGTGTCCTCAGCTGGGGGCCAAGAAGGGTCTGGGGGCGCAGAAGGTGAGCAGTAAGAGTTTCACCGAGGTGGAGAAACAGGCTCAGGTGGCCGAGAAGATGAGAGAGGAGCAGGCCGCAGAGGCTAAGAAACAAGCTGAGGAGTCCATGTGAGTACTGAACACCAGACAAACCGAGACACTCTTAATACCTGCCCTGTAATGAGTAATGTGGCTATATCACCCTTCTGTTTAGAACCATTTTTGCAAATAGTGATGGGCTTGTTAAAAGGCCTATATTCTGTATTTTTGTGGATTTTTATCTTTGAGGTCCACTAATAATGTTTGTGGTTTTATGCACCAGAACAGTCCTAATTCATCTTTTAGATGACCACTTTCCAACCTCTTTATATCCCTTAATTAAGTTGGCTTGGAACGGTTCTTCAGCAGTAAATTAAAGGTAGGTTTAAGGTTAGAGTGGATTTATGGTGCCATTGGATTTAAGGTAGCAATAGATTTAAGGATGCAGGAGATTTAATGTGGCGATGGGTTTAAGGTACCAGTGTATTTATTAGCATTGCAACCACCTAGCGCCATCTAAGGAACAGCCTGGGACACTATAGCAAGCACCTAGCAACACCTTACCTACCACCCTACGATAGCAACTGCCTCGCAACGTCTAAGCAACACTTTAACAACCATGAACAGTCTTCCAAAATTTTAAAGTTTTAATGCAATAAACTGACTTTTTTTTTGTAACTTAGTTTGTTCATGAACTTCCCCTTTCTAGTTTAACAGGCTGATTTTGTTACTGTCCCTTTAAGACTGATATGTAAATGAGTAGCAGTCAAGGTGGAAACACTCCTTATAACCTGAACATTAATAGACAGGACTAAACTGCTGTAGGCTGAACAGGCAAACATAACAGTGAATTTAAAACAGGTTGTCTGCAGCTTAGTTTCCATGTATAGACTGCGGAGTAAATAGTATGTTTACATGCCACATCTAAATGATACATAAAGTCAAAAAGGAAAATTTAATTTTTCCATGATATGGACATTTGGAGTTGATCAGCAAAGCAAAGACTATAAAATTCAGCAAAAGTAAATGAAGGAAATTAAGATTTCTCAATGGCTGCTTCTGAAATGCTATGTTTTTAAGCTATGCAGTGTAATTTTGTCCATTTTTATAGGTAGCATAATCATACAGTGTCAGAAATCACATAAACAAGTCTGTTAGAGATTACAGATTTAGCCAAGCAGTTTGTACAGTGAGCCTCCATTAATTGTTAGCTACATTAGTCTTGTAGCTCCACTGCAGTGAAGCACTGAAGAAGCAATCTTCAGACACCAAATGCTTGGCTGATCAAGTGCACTTAGGGTAGGGAAGACATTGTTGAAAACGTTCAATACTTCTGCTGAATTATTGCTTTAAGATCCAGTGCCTGAATAGCAGTACAGCCAGAGTATGGGGCTGAGGACAATGGGAGTTTCCTTGGCTCATTCATAGCTATAGATGTCCTGCTGTTTATTCACTCTTTTGATTCTGTTCCATTCAGTGTGGCATCTATGCGCCTGGCCTACAAAGAGCTGGAGATTGACAGGAAAATGGAAGAGAAGAGGCTGCAGAACCTGGAGGGGAAGAAGAGGGAGCAGGCTGAAAGGCTGGGAATGGGCTTTGGGAACAGGAGGTAACTGCACCAACCTCTGTAACAACACCGAACGAACAGCAGTGTGCACTTAATCCTGGTTGTGGAAGTTAATCCTGCACTCTGTATTTATAGCATTTCTTCTGCTTTATTGTACCCATTGTGGACTCATGAGGGGTGTGTTGATTAGCACTGTAGCAGGCAGCAGTGTACAGTTCAGTCCATAACCAGGATTAGGAAACAGTGATGATTGTCAGCTGTTGATCTGTTTGTGCCCCCCCCCCTCTTCTCCGCCTCTCTAGTGTTGTGTCACACTCGGTGATGTCAGAGATGCAGGTGATTGAGCAGGAAACTCCAGTGGGGTCAAAGTCTTCCTCCCGCTCCAAACTGGACATGTTTGATGAGCCTGGGTTTACCTCCGGACCGCCAAAGTAAGTAGCAGGGCCAATCTGAGCATCGCTTGATCTCAGCAGTGGTGGGCATCTGTGTACGTATGTGTGCGCATGTGGGTTTATTTGCATGTAATTTTTTTTTAATTTGTATTTTTTGTTGAAGCTGCGCATTACAGTCATTTCACTACATTTAAAGGAGGCTTTAAAATGCTGCCTGTTTCGCTCACTGGAAGTCAGTAAGGCACAGTTAGAGAACCTCTGGTTTGTGTGTGTGAAAAGAAGCTGCTGGCAAAAAATCTTCCCCTAATTCAGACTGATTCACGAGTTCACTTGACATCTTCCGCTGTAGTTCCTCACAGCTCGGTTCCAACTAAGGAAATGCAAAATAGCAAAAATCTCTCAAGCAAAAAGACCAGCTTTTGCTCCTTTTTTGGCACGGTACATTCACGTAGGACTGCATAACTAACAGCAGATGAGAGGCCCTTAATTAGGAGAGGGATAAATTAGATTGTATTAAATATATAAAAAAAAATTATGTTCATTTTTAAGTGGATATGCATGTAATCTATATCCACTTTGTGTCATTGCAGGTACAAGGACAACCCTTTCACTGCAGGAGACAGCTTTGGTTCTCGGTGGGATTCAGATTCAGGCTCTGCCTCATTCTCCTCATCCTGGGCTCTGGAGAAGGAGGAGCCTAAAGAAACAGAAGTCACCATCTCAAGCATCCAGCCAATTGGGGAAAGGTTTGTTTTTCTCTACTGAAGTATGTTTGGATTGTGTTATCATGTTGGAGTGTTTCATATTTGTACAGATCCACTTCATTAAGTACATCTCCTTGTATCTATACTCACTGCCCATTCATCAGCTCCACTTACTATATAGGTGCACTTTGTAGTTCTACAGTTACAGACTGTAGTCCATCTGTTTCTCTGATACTTTGTTAGCCCCCTTTTACCCTGTTCTTCAGTGGTCAGGACCCCCATGGACCCTCACAGAGCAGGTACTGTTTGGGTGGTGGGTCATTCTCAGCACTGCAGTAACACTGACGTGGTGGTGTGTTAGTGTGTGTTGTGCTGGTACGAGTGGATCAGACACAGCAGTGCTGCTGGAGTTTTTAAACACCTCAGTGTCACTGCTGGACTGAGAATAGTCCACCAACCAAAAATATCCAGCCAGCAGTGTAACCTGTGACCACTGATGAAGGACTAGAGGATGACCAATATGCAGCAGCAGATGAGCTATCGTCTCTGACTTCACATCTACAAGGTGGACTGACAAGGTGGGAGTGTCTAATAGAGTGGACAGTGAGTGGACAAAGTGTTCAAAAACTTCAGCAGCACTTCTGTGTCCGATCCACTCTTACTACAGTGCTAAGAATGATCCACCACCCAAATAATACCTGCTCTGTGGTGGTCCTAATCATTGAAAAACAGGGGGCTAACATAGTGTGCAAAGAAATGTGCACCTATAGAGTAAGTGATGCTGAAAAAATGGACAGTGAGTGCAGATACAAGAAGGTGCACTTAAGTGACCAGTCAGTGTATATGATTATGTAGGTCTGTCTTATATAATTAGTTTTCCTTCTCTGTTCATTCTGATAGAATGAGCCGTCTTCTAATAATAGAAAATGGATTTGAGTCATGGATATTATATGAATGTCAGAATGTATGTCTAACTGATGGCTGATGAGAGGTTTATATGTGATGAAATATCTCAGGTTGCCCAGCAGAAGGAAGCCAGAAGCCTCAGCGCCTGTTGCAGAGTCTAGCGAGGCACGACAGAAGTTTGCTAATGCTAAGGCGATCTCCTCTGACATGTTCTTTGGCCGTGAGACCAATGCCGAGGTACGGAAGACAAAGGGAAATTGTGAGATTTCGTTACGAGTTGAATTGCATCCTCAGAAAATAACTATAAATGAATTATATTCTTGTGAACTCAATATGCAAATTGTCGCTGTCCAAAAAAAGTATCTCCATTTGTTCTGATTTTTACTTTTCAGCGTAATTTGAGCACACCAGCTGCCGTTTATGTTGTGTAAAAATTTCATGATGAATGAATAAATAGAAATGCTCCAAAATTGCTTGGAATGAAATTCATTTATATTAACTTCCATTAAAGAGTAAAGAACGCTTTGCCTCCTCCTGTAAAGTTGCCATTTTGGCGATACTTCTTTTTCTTTGGACAGTGACGATATTGCGCCTGACAAGCTGCTTGATTAAAATTTCACGTTTATTGCTTCTCTCTGTGTTTCAGTACGAGGCAAAAGCTCGGCTGGAGACCATGTCCGGTAGTACCTCCATTAGCTCTGCTGACCTGTTTGGAGATGGTAGCAGCCGTTCTTCAGGTGAGCATGTTTCACCCTCACCCTACCTGCCTGTGTGCTTTGTGGAATGCCTGAAAGAGTGGCCAGTGCTTGTACTGATTTACTGTGTGTGACTTTTCTTCAGCGTCGTCAGGATTCGAAAGTGTGCTTCCCTCTGGACCGGACATTGCCCAGTTTAAGCAGGGGGTGAAGACTGTGGCTGGCAAAATGGCTGTGCTGGCTAACGGAGTAATGAACACCATTCAGGTGAGTTGTCGACACCCTGGACCCCAAAAGAAATCAGTACTGCAACTAAGGCTTTGTTCACACAGCAGGTAAAAGTGGCCCAAGTCCGATCTTTTTCTTCATATGTGATACAGATGTGTTGTGTGTCAGTGTGAACAGATAAACACACTGAATCTGACATTTTCAATTCTGATTTGAGACTCTTTTATATGTGGTACTGAAATCCGATACGTATCCAATATGCAGCGGTGCGACTCAGTCTGAACAGCCAGATCAGAATTCATGCGACTTTTACATCAATCCCACTCAACATTCGTCATAATTTCGCACTGCTGGGATCTCAAACATTTAGGCTGATGTTTCTGTACCAAAAAAAATAGAAGGCACTTATCGCAAACGCTCCATGTTTGAAGAGATTTTGAAAGAAACTGCTGAATCCGGCTGTAGGAGAACGAGGCTGCAGCATCAAAGAGAGTTAAAAAGTCTGAAAGCAAAGTTTAAAGAATCCGAGGACACGAACCAAAGAAGTGGCCGCGCCCTTTTTATGACAAGCTCGAACACATTATGAGTGATGAGCCCAGCTGTCAGTCAGTGAAGCTTCATGACGGCTCCTGTAATGCTGGAGAGGATGAAGCTGAAAGCTCCAGGAGCTTCAGTTTAGGGTCAGTTTAGGAGCTGATCTGTTCAGACTGATGTCTCATAAAGATCACATTTAAAAGACTTTGGAACAGCCAAACAAAAAAATTGGATTTGGTGAGAAAATCAGATTTGGGCCACTTTTACCTGCTGTGTAAACGTAGCCAAAAGGTGGGCAATGTGGATAATAGTATACTATGACCATACTTGAGAACATCTTCACAGCACCTGGAATCATAACATTTTGTTTTTTTGAGGTTGGATAAGAACAGATGCCATGCAGCAGCAACATGGTAGTTAAAATGCTATCAAAAATGAGTGTAAGGTTATGGACAGAATACCAGCTCTGTGTATTGTACTGGAACATATTGTGGCTGCCATATGCCTCGCAATATATTAAAAAGGCTAGGTTGTATCAGCAGTGGGATTAAAGATTGACGTGCATTACTTTGACCAAAAAATCACAAATATCAGAAGTTATAATGCTAATTTTCCTTGTGCAGCTTTCTGCAATATCAGTATTGCACAATATCCAATATTACAGTGGTCTTAAGAAATAATTGAAGTTCGGGAAGAGAACCTACAGCTTCCTCTTCTCACTATCCAATTTCTGATGAATATCTCTACCTTGGATGACCGTTTTCACACCCTCCACCTCCTCATCTCCTTCCAGTTCCTTAGTCCTGTCTCTCATTCCTCCCGCTGATAAGTTCATTTAAATTACAAGTGCTGTAATTTCTACATGGTAAAACTAAAATGTATGAACAAATAATGATTAAAATGTGAGAAAGCACTTTAAGTGTGAATTGTTTGAGTACAAATTTAAAACTGTGGAGGCAAATAAAAAAAAATAGTGCTTTTGTTTCAAACATTGTGGAGGGTACTGTATGTAAACAGGTCAGCAGTTTAGCCCGGCCTATTCACTCTGATTGTTAAAGACCCCCCACTCGCCACCCTTCATTTAGTATTCTCTAAACTTCCTTTTCCTCTGTTTCAGGACCGCTATGGCTCCTACTGAGAGGACTGCATGAATTGGACAGGAAAGGAAGTGACATCAAACAGGACGTATCACACTGCTGACTGGATCTGGCCTTGTTTTTCTCTCCTATATTTACACAAAACAAAGAGAGAGAGAGAAAATAGAGAAACAAAAAGAAAGGAAGAGAGATGGAGAGACACGGGACCTCCCTGTCTCTGTCCCCAGACCTTTGTAGATTGTCGCAGAACAACCCCCCGACTGACAGTATTTTCATTTTCTTTCTTTTTTTTTTGCAAACGTGTGGTTTTATTTTCAAAAGCACTGAGAGGTGTAGAAAGTTTTGTTTTTTGTTTGACTTGTTTTCCAGAACCACAGTGCATTTTGTTGAGACTAACGAGTCCTGTTTTCTATGCCACTTACTGGTCTGAGATTTCAGTTGTTGATTTGACAAACAAAAGTGTTCGCTATGAAATGAAATGTATAACCAAACTTATTCTTAGCTCCACCATGTTCTCATGGCTTTCTTTTTTTTTTGTATTTAAATGGCATCATATTCTACCTGAACAGTGCAGTTAAGACTGTAGTGGCGTTCACCTCAGAAAGAAAGGGAACTGAACGGGTTGATGTGTCCGATGACGGTTTGGATGTCAGCCGATCTGCACAGCTGCACAGGTGTGATGGAGTTTTTCAGCCAGCTGTGATGAAGACTGTCAGGGACTTCAGAGTTGGATCGACTGAGACAGGATGTTGCCCTTTTCTCGGTGAGGTAGCTTTAGGTTTTCAGAATCCAGCAATTTGAGATTGTTTCAGACAATATGACACAAACATACTAACGTGCAATACGTGCTCCAGGTTTGGGCGCGGCTGTGTGTGACTGGATGCCTGGAACTGCTAGTGGAGTTTTACTTGTGAGCAAACAAAGCATTCATGTTTTTGTGCTGTTTCTCTAAGCATGCCTATGCAAGCCTGTGCTTGTAAAACTCCTCTCAAACCCTCAGGTTGCACTTCCAGTTTTCCCTCACACATTTAATAAGGTGCAACAGGAGCAAGTCTGCCTGATACATGCTGGAAGCAGGTTCACAGATGCGACCGTGTCTGTGGCCTGTTTGTTTTAATAAAGAACATATGTTCGTATGCAAAAGTCAAATCACACGTTTTGTTGATTTTCAAAGATTTTTAACAGGGAACAATGACTTTTTGTGCTAATTTTAGGGCACAGTTTGTGTTTTTTTCCCTCACTTAACATAGTGGGGAAAAAATTAAATCGAAAATTTAAAACGTCATAACTTTTACACAGCCCACTTCTTATTTTTTGATTGTTTTTTACTCCCCCAATATGTTAAGTTCAGCGAATAAACAGCAACTGCGCATTAAATGTGTTTCTTGTAGAGCATGTGTACCTAGAAAATGAATAAAACACGTCATTTGACCGGGGTGCCCAAACTTTTGCATACGGACACACATCAGCTGCCAGAAAATAGAACTGAATTTTAATAAGTTGAATAGAATTGACTTATCCAAGCTCCGCTCAGAAATGCATTGTTTTATATCAGCTGTTGTGAGAAGAGCGTCAGAATTCCCATTGAGCCTAGAGAGAAACTGTTTGGGATGCACAGTGATATCAGAATCATATGTTATTGCGACAAGCTTCTTAAAAATGGAATCGGCACTGAAGAGATGTTTAGATATGACTGATAAGTCGGACTGACATTTTTGAAGTATTTATTGTGCTCCAGAAAAGCGGAGGGTTTAGGTGACTTTGTGTTATTGTGCTAAAATTTATACGTTTTATTCATTTCACTGTATTTGTAATCCTATAGATGAAATTGATGAGCTGCAGTGCGATATTTCTTTACATTGCTAGTCCAGGCGTAGGTGTCTACATTTTATAGATGTGTTTATAGATGTATCGGCAAATACGTTCAAGAAAAATATCGGATATTTGTATTGGCCCACAGTTTCGATATCAGTGCATCCCTGCAGATTGTAACAGCTTCCAGTTGACCGTGCTGAGCTGGACTATGTTGTTGCTAATCAAAACTCGCTGATGGGTCAGCTTGATTATGTGGCAAAAAACACACACACAATCAGTTCTTAAGTCTTGTTCACATCAAATCTGATTTTTCATGCATGTTGACACCGTCTTTCACATCGAGTTCCAAACTGACCGACTACAATGCTTCGTAATTTTTAGACTGAACTCTGCTTTATTTTCTGCGTTGTACGGATGCGTTAAACATCAGACTGACCAATCAGTGCCTACCAATCTGACCAAATGGCACAGCACAAAATCTTATACAACAAAATAACTATAAAAATGTGGAGCTTAAAGAAAATAAATGTAGGACCAGAGCTGAAAGGCTGGGAATGACTTTAGTACTACACAACTACTGTTTGTAGACATTTTTGTCTGTTTATATCTGTTTTTTTGTACCCAGTGTACACACTGGGTTGCAGTGCTTTAAAAAAAATGATGAATTTATTGCCACGACTAATTGAGGAATCTATTTTTTCTTCCTCTTCCGTCGTCTTCCTGAGAAAACAAGCGTCAGATTCAATCATTTTTTTCCGTATTTGGTGTGAATAAGCTTCAGTGTGACCACTACAGACAAATACAAATTAGAATTATTATTATTATTTTCAAAACCACCCACCCCTTCAAATTGACGTGCTATTTTCTCATTAGTTTGAATGAGATGTACCCCCAGCATTCTGTACAGCTTGTCCAGCCTAGCAACAGTTGTCACTAAGGAATGCATTTGTGGGCGGAGCTTAGAGTCAGTGAAAAATGAAACAAGATCAATTTTCCTTTTGACATTCAGACTCTTAAGTGATACTGTTCTCTCCTGTCTCCTCACAATGTGCATGTCTCCCTCATACATGCATTACAAAGATGTATTTTGTCCACTTTGATTGATACCCGATTGTATTAAAGGCAGGGATGGAAACCTTCGCGTCCCTCAGACTCGTCTGCCTGACCCTTTGTACCCCAGTGCAAAATCGGAGAAATAAAGGAGGATGAACTTCAGCTGAAACAGTAATTTATTGTAGACTGTTGCAAAGAAAATCGTTTTATGTAAATAAAGGTTGAAATACCCCCCCAAAATATTCCTGACTGATTAATAAAAAAACGTGCACAAAGTGATTTTCATATAAAAGCTTCAAACTCGAGTGCAAAACAAAAGTGATTATAAACACACAAAACATCTCATCACTCACAAAGGAAATAAAGTGGTTTAGGCACAAGAGGAGGATCCGCACTTCGACAGACCTCGAGTCACTGTGCTCTTTCATGTGCTCTTTTTCAGCGGAGGCCTTTCATCCACTCTCTCCTGCGCAGGTTGAGCGAGTCGAGTCAACCCATCCAATCTTCGTTTAACCTTGAAGACGCGGCGAGGGGTAGTGGATAATCAGGCAAGCTGGGCCTACGGCCTGTGATTAAACCTGATTCCCTAATCATAGCCTCCACTCGGCAGTGGCCAAAGACCCTTTGATCACAGATAACATGAAAGCAAGTCACCCCCCGCGATGGAGGAGAGAGAGAAGTACACCTACAACACTGGAATACAAACAATAGGCTTATATGGCTGTGAGGAGGCCTTTCTAAATCATCTGGATTTTAGCTGTCGGCACAAAATCACTGAAAATGAAGGATATTGATGAAGGACGGTAAATCGTCGCTGCCATACTATGATGAAGTTCACGGGGCGTTAAAGTGGAATTGCGCTGTGTTTTTTACATAGTTAAATGGTTGAGATATAAAGCCATTCAGAGTGGTTTGGTGTGAAACGCTCTGTTCTAGAGAAACTTACCAAGTCAGAGTTGTTCACAGTGGTGGTGATAGGAACCAGACATCCACCTCTAAAAGCTCCAGATTATCCACATTATATCTAAAAACAGACATCCAGGTTCACTGGTGGTTTTGGATTGTAAATAAAATTGCTATATTTGTGACCCCTATAGTGACCCCTGGTTCCCATCACCACCACTGTAAAGAAATCTGAGCTACGATTTCACATCAAACTACTGTGAATGATTTTGTTTACATTTCAATGATTGAAGTTTTGGGAAACTGGAATTTCCCTTTAATCTTTAATGTAAAGTTTTTATTAAGTAATGATGGGTATTTTCTGTTGGTCCATGCGTCAGGAAGCTGGCTGGTGCACCTGAATAGAACAGTGACAATATACGGGGAGATTCACTCGAAAGAGGCCCCAAATATTTTTGTTGTAACTCCTGTTATGATGAAGCAATCTGAACCAAAAAAATGCACTACATACCTTGACGTATGTGCAATCGATTGCATTACATGCGATGCTGGAAGTGATCTCTGTTTTCTGCCAGACACATGAAGGGGTTCGGGGGTCTGCATTCGGAAAGTTGCAAATGGAGGTTAAATGTCGCGACAGCTGTCCGGCGCCTACCTCGTTGCTCCTACGTAGGGGCATCCCAGCTTGTTCAAAGCTCCATATACTGAGGAGCGTTGTTTTGTTCAGATTGCTTCATCCTAGAGGGAGTTATCGCAGAATATTTGGGGCCTCTTTCGAGTGAATCTCCCTGTATCTGGTTTAGCCATGTTAGCCTCAAATGTTTAGGCTTAAGTTTAGCTAAAAGCCATTATTCCTTATTAAAGACACTCATTTGACTCCCTTTTCACCTTTTAACTACTATCAAAATATCATTTGACTCTCAGTGCAACAACTCCTTACAAGCAGTGTGCGAAATACCCCCTGGTATCCAGGGGGTCCCATGTTGGCTGGCTACTCCAGCGTTGGCTTGCTGCTAACTCACTCACCATAGCAGCGCTGGTGCTTCAGTGGCAACAGAAAGTTTAGTTGAACGGTTCTTTTTTTGGAAATGCTCTTCTCTAGTTTGGTGCTCTTCCACACTAACTGAGATCTTGCTCATCTCCTCTTAAGTCTTTGGTTTGAGAAACGAGTGACAGTTCACTCTTTCTACCAGCCTCTTGGGCAATTTGGCAATTTGGGCAGTCCTGGGCATAGTTACAGCTGCTAGGCTATGATGACCAACAGGGTTGCCAATTTGCAACAGCGCCACCCTGAGGCAGACCAGCGCTGCATCTCTAGTTAGTTAAAAATATCAAAGATAGCATCTCGCCGTTTCCTGAGTAAAGAAGGCTAAACAGTGATCTTCTCTCAATTTGCATGTTATCATTTTTAGGGACCCCATAATTTTGACTAAGACATTCATTGGGTCCAAGAGGTTAATTAGGGGGTTCTAGATCCCCCCCAGGATCCCCTGTATTTCGCACCATGCTTACCAGTCACAACAGTTTCCCTCCCTGCATTAGTGGCTACTCAAACAAGCTCCAAGACGAGTTAAAATACAGAACAGATTCTTTAGTATTGGCCCCTGGCTGGTTTACACACTAGTGAAGCATGTTGATTGTGGGGAATCAATCAAATTAGTTTTAGTTGATCCAAGCATATTTGTAAAAACCATTTTCCTCCCACAGTCTGCATCTCTCTGCTGAAGGGTTCTGCTCCACAGAGAGTTTCTGGTCCAGCAGGGCGGTCCCGGAGGGAAACTCAGCCCACTCGGCTGGCATCTTACCTGCAACACGAGTAAAATCAGACCGTTTAGTGTTGGAGCAGCAGCTGAGAACACTTAAAATCCTATTCAGTTTTATTTCCTATTGAGATTTTCCTTGCTTTGTTTTCCTTTTATCTATTCATTTTCCTTTTCATTTCATTGTTTTCCTTTATTTATCCTTTCCACATTATTTTTTCTTTTCTTATTTTCCCTTTTTATTGTTTATCCATTCATTTTCCTCTTATTAATGACCTTCATTTGTCCTTCATCCATTTACTTTCTTTTCTTTGTTTTTCTTTATTTATTCGTTATGTATTCATTTATCTTTTCCTTAATGTATCTTTTATCCAATCATTTTCCTTCACCTTATTTTCCCTTTTTTATCCTTTATCCATGAATATTTTCCCTTACCATATTTTCCTTTATTTATCATTATTCCATTTATTTCCCTTTATTGTTTATATTTCCTTTGGTATTTTATGTTGATTTTTTATACAAATTTGTATAAATTTTGTACTTTATTTTCTGTCAAAGTTTTCTGTCCTTATATTTATTTTTATTTTTAATGATATTTTCTGGTCTATTTACCAAGTTTTTTGCTATAAAGCTCTTTGTAAACTTGATTTAAATACTATATATACAGTTGTATGCAAAAGTTTGAACACCCCTAGTCGAATTCCATGTTTTTTTGATTTTATATGTGAAAATAAGTTAGCGCATCCTCTCCATATGCCATTTTCTGCACATTTTAATGCACAAATTGTGTTTATTTGCTGAATTCAGCATATTGGAAAAACGAAAAACATGAAACACAATGTTTCCCACATTTGTTTTTTTTTTCTCCAGAATGTTAAATTTAGCAAAAACAGTAATTGTGCATTACAAAGTGCATTAAAATTGTAATTTGACCACGTGTCCAACCTTTGCATATAACTGTAAAAAAGCGCCATTTTAAAAAGTAAAGCTCACCTTCTTTTGCAAAGTAAATGAAGTATTTGGTGAGCATTTCCTGGAAAGCTTGGTCTGCAGGGGTTATCGACCCCAGCACCATCTCAAGACCACCGAAGAATCCCAGACTGTCCAGCATATGGAAGGAAAAGCGACTTGGGTATAACAGCCAGGAGGAGGTGTTCACTGCTTTAGACGGCGTGTAGGTCACCAGGTAACGGTACACAGGACTCTTCAAAGCTTCTGGAAATCAGAAAGATTTAAGAGAGTCTAAGGTTGACTGCTCCTTCAAAAGGTAACAACTCAGACTTCACCTGCTGAGCTGTCACGACCTCTCAGATGTGACACCAAGGATACACTTTAATTCCCCAAATTCCTAAAAATGTCTCTCTTGTCTTTAAAGTGATGGTTCGACCAAAAATCTGATGAATACAATTTTCCCCATGTCTCAAATGCAGCAGATCAGCCAGACGTATTTAGCTGCCCACTAATATTGTGCATGTAAAGCTTAAATCATCACACACTTGTCTCTAAGCATGTCGACATGTTATTAATCTCAAACAGACTCATTTATTTGGTTTCTGACACTGTATGACATACTATCATCTATAAACTGGGACAAAAGTACACTAGCGTAGCTAGAAACAGTGGTAGTAGCGGTTTTAAGCCTGATATTTGTCCATTTTTATAGATAATGGTACGTTGATATAGTTTAGGAAACTGCGTAAACAAGTCAGACGGGTCTTGGCTAGGTGAGGGGAAAACTGGGTTAATTTGATTTACTGTAATTTAAGGTTTAAACACATAAGGAGAAACTATAAGGAGAGTCATGTTAAGGTTGTGAGGTAGATAAACTCATCCGCACCTGCAGCTCGCTTGGCCAGGTCGTTGTTGGGGCAGCTGACCCTCATATCGGACACCAGTGTGGTATAAAGCCTTTCTGGGCAGCGGTCAGAGACTGGGCAGGGAGCCGAGCTGTTGTATAGCCTCAGGGCCTTCGACGTAACGTTGTCTCCAAAAGGTCTTAATTTCTCTATATAAGGGATCAGAGAAAGAGACAGATTAAACTAAACAACATATTTACAATGTACTCCAGTTATTATAGTAGTAATGTTACTGCTACGTAGCTTATTACAGTGGTAGTAATGCTACTGTGAATTAGTCTGCGTTAATACAGTGGTAGTAATGCTACTGTGACTTAGTCTATGTTATTACAGTGGTAGTAATGCTACTATGACTTAGTCTATGTTAATACAGTGGTAGTAATGCTACTGTGACTTAGTCTGCGTTAATACAGTGGTAGTAATGCTACTGTGACTTAGTCTATGTTATTACAGTGGTAGTAATGCTACTATGACTTAGTCTATGTTATTACAGTGGTAGTAATGCTACTATGACTTAGTCCATGTTATTACAGTGGTAGTAATGCTACTGTGACTTAGTCTATGTTATTACAGTGGTAGTAATGCTACTGTGAATTAGTCTGCGTTATTACAGTGGTAGTAATGCTACTGTGACTTAGTCTATGTTATTACAGTGGTAGTAATGCTACTATGACAGTCTATGTTATTACAGTGGTAGTAATGCTACTGTGAATTAGTCTGCGTTATTACAGTGGTAGTAATGCTACTGTGAATTAGTCTGCGTTATTACAGTGGTAGTAATGCTACTGTGACTTAGTCTATGTTATTACAGTGGTAGTAATGCTACTGTGAATTAGTCTGCGTTATTACAGTGGTAGTAATGCTACTGTGACTTAGTCTATGTTATTACAGTGGTAGTAATGCTACTATGACAGTCTATGTTATTACAGTGGTAGTAATGCTACTGTGAATTAGTCTGCGTTATTACAGTGGTAGTAATGCTACTGTGAATTAGTCTGCGTTATTACAGTGGTAGTAATGCTACTGTGACTTAGTCTATGTTATTACAGTGGTAGTAATGCTACTATGACAGTCTATGTTATTACAGTGGTAGTAATACTACTGTGAATTAGTCTGCGTTATTACAGTGGTAGTAATGCTACTGTGAATTAGTCTGCGTTATTACAGTGGTAGTAATGCTACTGTGACTTAGTCTATGTTATTACAGTGGTAGTAATGCTACTATGACAGTCTATGTTATTACAGTGGTAGTAATGCCACTGAATTACTCTGCGTTAGTACAGTGGTAGTAATGCCACTGTGAATTACTCTGCGTTATTACAGTGGTAGTAATGCTACTGTGAATTAGTCTATGTTATTACAGTGGTAGTAATGCTACTGTGAATTAGTCTGCGTTATTACAGTGGTAGTAATGCTACTGTGAATTAGTCTGCGTTATTACAGTGGTAGTAATGCTACTGTGAATTAGTCTGCGTTATTACAGTGGTAGTAGTGCTACTGTGAATTAGTCTGCGTTATTACAGTGGTAGTAATGCCACTGTGAATTAGTCTGCGTTATTACAGTGGTAGTAATGCCACTGTGAATTAGTCTGCGTTAATACAGTGGTAGTAATACTACTGTGAATTAGTCCATGTTATTACAGTGGTAGTAATGCTACTGTGAATTAGTCTGCGTTAATACAGTGGTAGTAATGCTACTGTGACTTAGTCTATGTTATTACAGTGGTAGTAATGCTACTATGACTTAGTCTATGTTATTACAGTGGTAGTAATGCTACTATGACTTAGTCCATGTTATTACAGTGGTAGTAATGCTACTGTGACTTAGTCTATGTTATTACAGTGGTAGTAATGCTACTGTGAATTAGTCTGCGTTATTACAGTGGTAGTAATGCTACTGTGACTTAGTCTATGTTATTACAGTGGTAGTAATGCTACTATGACAGTCTATGTTATTACAGTGGTAGTAATGCTACTGTGAATTAGTCTGCGTTATTACAGTCGTAGTAATGCTACTGTGAATTAGTCTGCGTTATTACAGTGGTAGTAATGCTACTGTGACTTAGTCTATGTTATTACAGTGGTAGTAATGCTACTATGACAGTCTATGTTATTACAGTGGTAGTAATGCCACTGTGAATTACTCTGCGTTAGTACAGTGGTAGTAATGCCACTGTGAATTACTCTGCGTTATTACAGTGGTAGTAATGCTACTGTGAATTAGTCTATGTTATTACAGTGGTAGTAATACTACTGTGAATTAGTCTATGTTATTACAGTGGTAGTAATACTACTGTGAATTAGTCTGCGTTATTACAGTGGTAGTAATGCTACTGTGAATTAGTCTGCGTTATTACAGTGGTAGTAATACTACTGTGAATTAGTCTGCGTTATTACAGTGGTAGTAATGCCACTGTGAATTAGTCTGCGTTATTACAGTGGTAGTAATACTACTGTGAATTAGTCTATGTTATTACAGTGGTAGTAATACTACTGTGAATTAGTCTATGTTATTACAGTGGTAGTAATACTACTGTGAATTAGTCTGCGTTATTACAGTGGTAGTAATGCTACTGTGAATTAGTCTGCGTTATTACAGTGGTAGTAATACTACTGTGAATTAGTCTGCGTTATTACAGTGGTAGTAATGCTACTGTGAATTAGTCTGCGTTATTACAGTGGTAGTAATACTACTGTGAATTAGTCTATGTTATTACAGTGGTAGTAATGCTACTGTGAATTAGTCTGCGTTATTACAGTGGTAGTAGTGCTACTGTGAATTAGTCTATGTTATTACAGTGGTAGTAATGCTACTGTGATTAGTCTGCGTTATTACAGTGGTAGTAATGCTACTGTGAATTAGTCTGCGTTATTACAGTGGTAGTAATACTACTGTGAATTAGTCTGCGTTATTACAGTGGTAGTAGTGCTACTGTGAATTAGTCTATGTTATTACAGTGGTAGTAATGCTACTGTGAATTAGTCTGCGTTATTACAGTGGTAGTAATGCTACTGTGAATTAGTCTATGTTATTACAGTGGTAGTAATGCCACTGTGAATTAGTCTGCATTATTACAGTGGTAGTAATGCTACTGTGAATTAGTCTGCGTTATTACAGTGGTAGTAATGCTACTGTGAATTAGTCTATGTTATTACAGTGGTAGTAATGCCACTGTGAATTAGTCTGCGTTATTACAGTGGTAGTAATGCCACTGTGAATTAGTCTGCGTTATTACAGTGGTAGTAATACTACTGTGAATTAGTCTGCGTTATTACAGTGGTAGTAATGCTACTGTGAATTAGTCTATGTTATTACAGTGGTAGTAATGCTACTGTGAATTAGTCCATGTTATTACAGTGGTAGTAATGCTACTGTGAATTAGTCCATGTTATTACAGTGGTAGTAATACTACTGTGAATTAGTCTGCGTTATTACAGTGGTAGTAATGCTACTGCGAAATAACCTACATTATTAAAGCAACACTAGCTAGCGTTCCACTACCCAACACCTCTTTGATGTAGAAACACGGAAAGATACTGTTAAGTTTTCTCTGACTTTTGTAATGTAATGCATCCTTCAACTTCCCAAAATTAAGTTTTATTTTTATGCGTTTTATTTTTCATTTTTAGCCATTTAGCTCCATTCACACCCCACTCGCCCCATAGAGGGCACCCTCTAGCGTTTTGCAGACAGGAAGTGGAAAGGCTCCCCTTGAACTAACTCTGGTAATACAGTAACCCTGCTAGTAATAATAGCGTACCTGTCACAAACCACTGGTAGTCTCCCCAAGTCCACGCAGAAATGTTCTTCACAAGGGGACTGAAGACGAGAAAAGAAAGACCCATTTTAACATTCAGAAGCACAGTTTAATAGCGGCGACTGTAGTCAGTGTAAAACTGTGTAATACTTACCTGAAGTCAGCCTCTTGCTCTGTTGTTCCAACCACAAACGGAACGTCATTATAAAATTCACCTTTTTTCTCCCAGGCTTCAAATGGAGCAACAGAAAGGACATGGCCATCCACAACTGCAACTGGACCGCAGAAGCGGTCTTTAACAGGAATGTCAGTTAGGTCCTCTGCCGCCCATGATGGATAGTCCTGCCATGGAATGGCCTGCATAGTCAGAAGGAGAAGGAACCTTGTATGAATCAGCGAATAACAAATGCAGTGAAGTAATTTAATAGAATTATTTTATCACTTGTAGCTCATTGAAATAGATGGAAAAACTCTGTCAAAAGTACAGATTCTATACTATCAATCCAACCACATCTCCGTTCATAAGAGGAGATAATATGGATACATTTTGCCATGTTTTTGTCGTTCTTTAACACTGAAACAGAAAGGAAGAAAGAAGTGCAGACTTGAACCTGTCAATACAGAATGTAAATGTAATAATTTTGTAACTACATAATTAATTACACTTAAATTTAATACTACAGACAACACTAATTGGTTGAGTCTTAATCTACAGATAGGCCAGTATGAAAATGTCCTATTGTGATATTGTTCAAATATGCTAAAAACATATAAAAACCACAATATGCACTACTGAACCGCTCATATTTCATTATAACAAAATATATATATACACCATATAAATCATCTGCAGCTTCAATAAGTATGAAATAATTAGCACAAGCTCAGTTACTATAAAGGTGAGTTGTCCATATGCTTTGCTCCTATGCTTACTTCCAGGACTTTTTAAAAAGAGGGCAATCAAACATGATCATCAGAATTATTACATTTTAAAACAGACTGTTTTATACTGCAGTTTATCATTTAAAGTGTCCATATCCTACATTTTAACATTTAAACCTTATTATACAGGGAGATTCACTCGAAAGAGGCCCCAAATATTCTGTAATAACTCTCTAGGATGAAGCAATTTGAACAAAATAATGTGCAATGAGCTCCTCAGTATAAGGAGCTTCAAACAAGCCGGGGCGCCGGACAGCCGTTGCGGCGTTTAACCTCCGTTTGCAACTTCCGGACGCATACCCCCGTACGCCTTCATGTGTCTGGCAGAAAACGGAGATCACTTACAGCATCGCATGTAATGCAATCAATTACACACACGTCAAGGTAGGTAGGGTATTTTTTGGTTCAGATTGCTTCATCCTAACGGGAGTTACAACAGAATATTCAGGGCCTCTTTCGAGTGAATCTCCCTGTATTATTATATTACATTATAACATTTGTGTTGGTTTATGTAGTAAAAACAGTCATAGTTCATTCAAACGTGACCATTTTCTAATCTCTTTTTATCCATTAGAATTAAACAGGCTGTTTCTTTTCTCACTGTACCTTTGAGACTGATATATGTAAATGTGCTCTGTTCTGATTGGCTGCCTTGTACTGTGCCTCGTTCAAAAAAAAACAGTCCAGGCTGAAGCACTCCTTATAATTTCACCAGACTAAACTGCTGTAGGCTCAATAAGTCTGTGCACTGTGTGCACGTTTTCATGCACAATTACTGTTTATTTGCAGAATTTAGCACACTGAAGAAAAATAAAAGACAAAATGTGGCCTGAGGACATTTTATATCGTATGATGTTTTATTTTTTTCAATATATTAAATTCAGCAAGGATGTGTTAACTTCTTTTCACTTAGAAAATCAGTTATTTCATCCAAGAGTGAGCAAACTTCTCTATACGACTGTATATGTAAATAGTAAATGTGTATTGAAAGCAGTGAATTCAAAACAGGCTGTTTTTGTGGCCTATCTAGTGTCCAGGGAGTGAACGGTACAATTTAGCACTGATCATGTTAAGAAATGAGATATGATGGGAGCTCTTTAAATCAGTAATCATCTCCTGCCTTGTGTCAACTACATAAAATACACTCTGATTTGCTCAGATGAAAGTCAACACACTAGAGATTATCCTGCCTCATCTTACCTGCAAGACCTCAGTTATACTGAGCTTTCGAAGACAAGCGGCGTCCTTGCAGCCTGTTTGACGGAGGAACAGAAGGTTGTCTCTCTCAGCTGAGGCCAGAGTGGCGTTATACACGTAGGAGCCACTCATGTCGATGGCACGATGGAACAGGCCCTGGGCCAGCTTCGACATCATCAACGTCCATACAGATGTTCCTCCTTGAAAGGATTTGAAAAGCTAACATGTTAGTCAAGCAAACCCAGCAGAAGGAACGCATATCATAATGAGCTGATACTGTAATATTGGTTTTACAGCGTGAAGGCACAACATGCAAATGAGCCACTACACAACGTATTTTTGTGCACTGTAAGCTTCCTAACCAGCCCATGACATTCTGTGAGAGTTTGGTTACACAATTCTGGTCAAAAAACATGCAGGCCAATCTTTAAAGGGGGATTCCAGCGATTTTGCAAAATTTCTGCATAATTAAACCATTAAGTTATAAACAAAGTCAGTCAGAACTGTTCATAGTGGTGGTGATAAAGAGTTACCTAATCACAGGACATGTATGCTGTATGATGCTTGAGTCATTATTTTATGATATATTTTAGATAAAAGTTTAGTCTAAAATGTATTTTTATAAGCTATTCATGGCAGAGAAGTACATGCAAGGCATGTTAAGGCAAAATGACCCCCCAAAAAAGCTTTGTTTTCCCAGATTTATCACAATTTTACCATCATCAACAGTACATGTAGAAACTCAGAAGACAGGTGTAGGTTCACTGGTGGGTTTGGATAGTAAATAAAATGGCTATATTTGTGTTGTAGTCATGGCGACCCCTCATTCCTATCAACACCACTGTAAAGAAATTCAGTCAGTAATTTTATCTACAATCAATCATTTCATATCAAACCACTCAATGTATTTGTTTACATCTCTATAGTTACACCACATATCGGTGGAATTCCCCTTTAATATCACATCAGCAGCAGTAAAGGCATGTTGCAATATAATTCCACTATGATTATTTTGTCCATAATCTGCAGGCTGTAATAACCATAAAATATAGCTATTGGATGTTGTATAGTATATGTGTAAGGCACGGTACATGAACATGAAAGAGCAATTTCTACACGCACACACGCGCACACACACACACACACATATATATATATATATATATGCACTCTATGTATACGGTCATATCCTCCCCAGTGAAATGACATTTTATTTCTTTTCTAAGTGTAAATAAATGAACACACTTCTGCAAATTTTAATATACAATGAGTTTATCTGCTGAACACATTGGAAAAAATAAAACATTAAATGTGGCCTGTACAAAAGTTATGCCACTTTTTATATTTCATGTTTTCTTTTTTTATATTTTATATGTATATTTTATATTAACCTCAGTAAATAAATAGAAACTGTGCACTTAAATGTGCAGAAAAACACCATATTTAAGTGCGTTCTCTGTAACTTATTTACACTTAGAAAACCAACAAAACGTGATTTGACCAGGGATGTTCAAACTTTTGCACATGAATATATTATTATACAGTTTAGAGCAGCAATGTACATTCACTTTTTTTACCTGAACTCTGGCCAAATATGGTGACCTTTGTTGGGTCTCCACCAAACACGTGGATGTTCTTCTGAACCCACTTAAGAGCTTGAATCTGGTCCATGAAGCCGTAGTTCCCTGAGTGGAGTGAGCAACATGATGTGTTATTGTTATAGTGATAAATAACATGAGCACTCTTTTTTGAGTATATAGAACACTGAAAAACTGTATATATCCTAAAAATACATTTAGACCAATTATAGAGCGCCTATAAACAACATTATAATACTATATAAACCACACAATAACAAATAGCTGATTGAACGTCAGCCCATTATACCAGTATCTTATTTATTTATACCACCTGTTTTGTTTAGGGATGCACTTTTTTCATGCGCAATCTGCCAATACATAAACATATAAAAATACAAAAATTGGGACTAAACCTACCAGGATTAGCAATACAGAGACCCTGGATATGGTTTCAGATGCAGTAAAGTGAATAAAGTGCTCACATTTTACCAGAGTAACCCAGCATCACCTAAACATTCTGCTCTTCTGGAGTACAAAACATCACCACATATCGGACTGTAACATCAGTCTAATCTAAACATCTGACCAATGGTGTTTTTTTAAATCAAATATCTGCTGATTCCCATGTGATTCCAACATCATTGTGGATCCTTTGTTTTATTTTTCCTCTTCTTCCTTCTTAAATTGTTTATTGGTTCAAAGGTTGAATCTTAAAAAAAGCTGTGTACTCATAGTTTTTATGGTGTTTTTTATAAGTGGCACTACTGTTTGTTCTGTAAAGTGAAGTCTGTCCATTCTAGCTTGTTTGTAAACCTCAAAATATTTATCGTAGATAATCGTTTATTTGCAGAAAATGCTGCATCAGTTATTATATTTTCAGTGTGATAGTCTACTTTTAGACTGGGGTGTCAAACTCAACCACTTAAAGGGTCATATTAAAAAATCTCAGCAAATCTGTGGGCCAGCTGTGTTTTTATTTTACTTTTACTTAAGGTTTTGCCCTGACCCCAACTGACCTTTGTTTATTCAAAATATGCAAAAACTGCAACAGCAAAATTAAAAACATATTCAAAAATAATTCTAAATAAAAATACATTTTATGTTTATGTAGTCTTTAATATCTTTTCTTTTCATGTAACTGCCCACAGATCGTTGTCAGAACGCACACTATGTTGCAGTGCATGCTGGGGACTGCAGTGTATCTCAGGGTGAAACGGGCTGATAATAACAGAAAATTAAAATAATTTTGCAGGCCAAATAGCATTGTGTCACGGGAATGATTTGGTGGGTTTTAGATGATCATCTTAAGTGAAGTGCTGCAATTAAAAACACACACACACACACACACACACACATCATCTAAACCGCTTATCCTTCTGGGTCACGGTGGGGTGCTGGAGCCTATCCCAGCTGTCATTGGGCAGAAGGCAGGATACACCCTGGACAGGTCGCCAGTCCATCACAGGGCGCAATTATAAACAGCTCATTTTAAAGCCGAGTAGTTTTTAAGGAAGAAATACTGGATCTGTACAGCCCAATACGCACTGGGCCTCATTCACCATTATCTTCCTAAGTTTGTGAAAGGTCCTAAGAAAAAGTGTACGTCAGATTCATGAGGTGTTCTTTAATCTTTCGCACCTTAGTGCTCGAGTGTGTGTAGATTCTGTTCTTAACTAAGAACAAACCCCAGATAAGAATCTTCGTAAAAACTGCGTAAGTGGGTTTTAAGAAGAAATTTCTTCTTAAGAATGGTTCATAAATGAAGCCCAGTATTGGTATCAGTATCAGTATCGGAAAGGAAAAAGTGGTATCGTTCCATCTCTAATCATGACTCATACTGCGTATCGTGAAAATGTCTTAAGTGCATTATGATGTTATATTTTCACCATATCGGCCCCTCTTACTTCAAAATGATCCGCAATCATTTTGTACCAAATTGCTCTGGTTCAAATAATCTAACAATAATAAAACCCAGAGCCTATTGCTGAATATGTTCCTCCAACTACTGCTGTACTCTGAAAGCTAATGACTCATCCATTGTGGACATCTGACAAGTGGGGAGCATTAATGTGGGCAGACAATAGTTCTTTTTAGGATGGACAGCTTCCCTGAGCAGTTTGGACGTTCTATGTAGACCTAATCGGACAGCTATGCTGAAGGGACTGACCTGAGGTATTGGTGGGTGAACCCTCTCTCAGCACCTCCAGGGCCATGAAGCCAAAGGCATTGAGCCTGTAGTTCAGACTGACGAAGACGGTTTGTGTTCGGGCCGCTAGCTCTTCGGTGGGCGAGTAGCCTCTCTCCTGCCCACTCAGCATGTGTAAATACCCTCCATGGATCCACACCATGACGGGCAGGGGTTCATCAGGCTGCAGGCTGGGCGTAAACACGCTCAGATGAAGGCAATCCTCGCTTCCGGTCACGTGCCCATCTTTTTGGAGGGGCTGCACTTGCGCACAGGCGCTGCGCACACGGGTAGCATCGTAAACGCCGTGCCAACACTCCTCCGCTTCCTTTGGATCTTTCGGAGGCATCCACCGGCGTTCGCCGACAGGCGGGACAGCGTATGGGATGCCTTTGAAGGAATAAGCTCCGTCCTCCCGGCGCCCGCGCAGCCAACCGCAGTCCGTGAGCACCTCCGCAAAGCCTGGGGGCGGAGTCTGGGCGATATGAGCCAAATATCCGGCAAGAGCAAGTAACGCGAGCACTCCACAGGCTATTAAAAACATGCACCTCTTCGACACCACCAGGAACGGGCTGACGTAGTGACGTCGGACGTACTGGATCTCCTCCTCCCCCTCATCCTGCACCAGGTAGCGGTACTCGTTCCTCGCAGGGACTTGATACGCGTCCTCATTCATCTCTTCTCTAGGATAAACACACAGAGGGGGGAAAGAGAGAGAAGACGTGAAGGAATCTGAACCATTTTATGACTCAGATTTCAGGTAACAGGTGACCAGACGGCCTCTCTGGTCACATCTGCAGTTGAAAAACACTTTTGTCTTCAGTCAACAAACAGGTTTTACCAGCTACCACTTCAGTTTCCGTGGATTTGTAAACACGTCTGTTCATGTTGGACAAAAATGATACCCTGGCAAACAAAAACAACCTAAATCTGGTCCTTCAATGTAAAACTTCTCATTATGAGATTGTCGTAAGACTATTATGTGCTTATTCAGCTTATTTCTAGATTTTGTTTTACTCGTTCAAAGTCATTTTATCTTCTTAAGCCGTCTTATTCAATCAGTAGGTCATTCTGCTCATTTCAAAACAGAACGCATATAATGTTGCTTGTTTGAAGAAATAACGCTTGAAACTAAATTATCTGCCAATAGAATAAAAGTTTCACGAGATAAAATAACTTGCCTACATTTTCTTGTACTTTATTTCCACCTTTAACATTTCTGTGCTTTTGTTTACCAAATATCATCACAATTTACTTTGATGTGACCATTTTCAAAGCATTTAGAATTAAACAGGCTGTTTTTGTTACTGTGCCTTTAAGACTGATATATTTAAATGAGCTCTGTTCTGATTGGCTGCTTTGTACTGTCTGACTCTTTCAAAAGCCTTAGTGTGAGTGGGCGGGGCTAAACTGCTACAGGCTGAATAGGAGTAAATATGTTAATGAGTTGGTTTTTGTGGCATCACAGAAACTGAACTTGAAACAGGTTCAGTTTCTGTGATGCCACAAAAACCAACTATTATATTTATTATTGCAGCTCAGTTTCCATATATAGACCGTATAGATGGGGGAGTGAACAGTATGCTTTGAAACTGGCAGTGTTTACATATCGCTTCAAACACTTTCATTAAAAAAATGCCAGGTGAATTTGGTTTTTCTATGATATGAGCCTTTCAAAACAAGTAAAAATGTCCAGAAATTAGTTAAACAATCTTATAATATTCTTACAACAATCTGAATATGAGAAATATTAATACTTTTGAACTCACTAAATGTCATTTTTTGCTGTCTGAACACAGTGATTTTCTTCTTAAATGTACCCGAAGCATTACGGGAAACAAACTGGAGGAAGAAAATGGATTTTTCTTTCAAAGTAAATTGGAGAAGTTGAAGTTTCAGGGAGAAACAGAACTTCTCTAGCTAATTCAAGTGGAGTCAGCAGGTCCAGTCAGAGTAAAGAGAGCGAGCGCACCATAAAAACCTATTAAAGTAGAAAGATGTGGGCCCAACATTAATCAGAGTTAATGTTATTACTGCAAATACTGTGTGGATATCAGGTCAGGGTCAAGTAGGTCAGGAAGAAACTGCTCTGTGTACACAGTCAGTCAGCGAGCTGCAGAAAAAACTTCTAAATAAAACTTTTCAGGAGAAACAACAGCTTATTTGCTCAGCGTGCAATGGAGACGAGTGTACTGTACATCACTTAACTTATAGACAATCAGCCAATTTATTATTTTTATTTTGACCTTTTTTGATCTGTCTTGCAATTTTATGGCTTAAATTATGCAGGTAAGTGCACTCAAGTGTAAAAAGCTTCTACTAATGCTACATGAAACACTGCAGAATAATTCGCTGCTGTATGTCCAAAATGGTAACTTTACAGGAGAAGGAAAAAACGTACTCTACTTTTAATGTAAGTCAATGGAACCAGACTTTTTTCTAAGTAACTCTGAGCTGTTTCTTTTGGTCCATTCATGATGAAACTTACAGACAACGTAAAGGGCAACAGACGTTTTCAAATTATGCCAAAAACTGAAAAACGACAAAAATGGAGATACGAGGTTTTGTTCCGACAACAGCGACAGTTGTAGCAAAGGTTTGGGTGAATTTAACAAAGCGGAAAAAAAATTAAATATAAAATGTGGCAAAAGTTTTGGCTCATTTAATATTTTATGTTGTACTTTTTTCCAATATGTTAAAACCAGCAAATAAATAAAAATACCGCACTAACATTTTCAGAAAAATGTCATACTGAAGTGTGTTCTCTGAGAGGACGTATATTTTCTCTTAGAAAATCAACAGAACATATCATTTGACTAGGGGTGTTTAAACTTTTACATACGACTGTATGAATGTCTCGTTACGCTAAATATCCAGTCGCTTCTTACTTTCGACGTAGCACTTCATTTGATTCATCTTATTTAAGCAACTGGTTTTTATTTAAGTATTTAAAATGCTAGTTTGGCCCTTTAAAGAGTAAATAACATTATTTACACTGGCATTCAAAAGTTTGGGACCAATATTTTTTAGTAAAACAAGAAATGCTGCAGAAAACTGTATAGAATTATGATGCTCAGCACAGATTTCGACTGTAGATGATTCAAAAGTGAAAAAGACAAACAATATTAAGAATTACGTTATAATGAAACTAACAGAAGCCTTATATTTGAAACAGTGATCTAATCTAATCAGAAATTACTACAAACAGATAATAACTGTATATTATTTAATAACTGCAGTACACGTTTACAGTACACAGCATATCATTTAATAACGTTCTGGTGTTCCCACATTTTAAAGTACCTTGTAGTATCTAGCTTATAGTATTTTAATGTACACTGTTCTGACAACAATCTGGAAATGAGAAATACTGACTCCATTTATGATTATTTCACTTTTTACATATCACTTCAAACTCTTTTATTAAAAAAAAGCAAGGTAAATTGTTTTTTCGATGATATGAGCCTTTCAAAACAAGTAAAAATGTCCAGAAATTAGTTAAACAAGTCTTATAATATTCTTACAACAATCTGAATATGAGAAATATTAGATATATTAACACTTTCGTATTCACTAAATGTCATTTTTTGCAGTTTGAACACAGTGATTGTCTTCTTAAATGTATGTGAAGCTTTACAGGGAACATAGCAGAGAAAGAAAATGGATTTTTCTTTCAAAGTAAATTGGAGAAGTTGAAGTTTCAGGGAAAAACAGAACTTCATAAACCAATTCAAGTGGAGTCAGCAGGTCCAGTCAGAGTAAAGCGAGCGAGCGCACGCTAAAAATCCATTAGATAAGAAGAAAGATGTGGGCCCAACATTAATCAGAGTTAATGTTATTACTGCAAATACTGTGTGGAGGTCAGGTCAGGGTCAAGTAGGTCAGGAAACTGTTTGGGTTATTACTGAATAAAATAACAGAAATTATTAGTAAGGTAAGTGATTTTTAAGTGTTTGAACTTCAGCTAAAAATGCTGGAAATGTGTTAATGTGATTCATGGGCTCATTTCAGCTCACACAGGGTTGGCTTTGGGTTAGAAAATGGCCAATAAAAATGATCCACCTCATAAATCTCCACCCTTTATTTTGCTAAGATGTGCCTTAGTTGAACCTGAATGCATTTTGCCTTATTAATAATTTGATATAGTGACAATGCAACCTAACATACAGATCTACAATCATGTGTAGACTCATCTCACAGACCCACTACAGCCTTAGATTCGGTAACATAAGCCTTGATTAAAGAAAGATCATTAGAACCATTGGGATTAATACCTGATAGTTTACTTTTACCATTACAGACCACTAGTTTCCTTTAGGACACCATTAGATCCCATTAGGAAACCATCAAATGCATCTGGAATCAGTCCCAGAACACTTGTTAAACCATTAGAATCCATTACACTGGGATATCATCCCATTAGGAAAACACAAAGTACTGTTACTGACTACTGGACTAGAAAAGACCTTAAACTTTTAATGGTAATAAATATTTATTAGCAAAAAACTGCTAATGTGACAAATCCATATTACATATAGATCTATAATTACTTGTATTCTACCGAGACACACCCACAAACCTACTCCACCCTCTAATTTGGCAGGTACGGAACCCCTAAGGTGACACAGTGACTATTTTTTAATAAGGAGTTGCCACAAATTACATAATGAAGCCGAGTGTTAAGTTTATTGTGACCACAAATTAATATATTGAAGCCATGGAACTTAACACAGGGCCTCAATATGCTAATTTGTGGCCATGCCTTATTAAAAGGAATCACCATATCACCTCACAACATTAAAACCACCTCGTTTCTACACTCGCTGTCCATTTTATCAGCTCCACTGACCATATAGCAGCACTCTGTAGTTCTACAATTACAATTACATCTGTTTCTCTGCATACTTCGTTAGCCCCCTTTCACCCTGTTCTTCAGTGGTCAGGACCACCACAGGACGACCACAGAGCAGGTATTATTTGGGTGGTGGGTCATTCTCAGCACTGCAGTGACACTGACGTGGTGGTGGTGTGTTAGTGTGTGTTGTGCCAGTATGAGTGGATCAAACGCAGCACTGTGTCCACTCACTGTCCACTCTGTTAGACACTCCTACCTTGTCGGTCCACTTTGTAGATGTAAAGTCAGAGACGATAGCTCATCTGCTGCTGCACAGTTTGTGTTGGTCATCCTCTAGTCCTTCATCAGTGGTCACAGGACGCTGCCGCTGGCTGGATGTTTTTGGTTGGTGGACTCCAGCAGCACTGCTGTGTCTGATCCACTTGTACCAGCGCAACACACACTAACACACCACCACATCAGTGTTACTGAAGTGCTGAGAATGATAATACCTGCTCTGTGGGGGTCTTGTGGTGGTCCTGACCACTGAAGAACAGGGTAAAAGGGGTGACAAAGTATGCTGAGAAACAGTTGGACTACAGTCTGTAACTGTAGGAAGTGGTCAGTTGAGCTGATAAAGGAGGTGTCTTTAATGTTATGGCTGATTGGTGTATAATCACATGACATACACATCTAAAAAGCACTTAAAGTGTACGAGACACATCTCACAAACCTAATACAGCATTTATTTTGGTTATATGTGCCTCGACTGAACTGTCGGCAGTAAAGTTGACGGTCTAGTGCTGTTTTATCCTGCAGGCTGTGCTCGAACTGAGCTGCCCTGACCTTTAGTTAACTACGCAGCAGATTATGAGGATAAGGAAGACCGAGAAGCTGCGCAGGTGATCCTAACTCGGTGTTTTTAGCACATGACCCTAAAACAGAGCAGTGCTGAGTTAGAATATGACACAGAGACGCGTGTTCAGGTTTTAAAAGACAGGATGAAGCGAATAATCGGCGGAAATAACAACCTGAATCTGGCTGTAAGCACGAGGCTGAGGTTGTTTTCCTATTCGACAGCGTCTCGCTCCAATTTTCCCGTTCCCCCTTAAATGGTGCAGCAGTTCCATTCTGGCGCCTGGGGCTGATAAAGGAGGTGTCTTTAATGTTATGGCTGATGGGTGTATATCCACATGACATACACATCTAAAAAGCACTTAAAGTGTACGAGACACATCTCACAAACCGAATACAGCGTTTGTTTTGGTTACGTGTGCCGCGACTGAACTGAGGCGCCAGACTGTAACTGCTGCACCATTTAAGGGTGGAACGGGGAGTTGAATATGAACTTCGTGGGGAAAGTAAAGTCCTGCACTTTAGTTCAGCTCAGTGTCCATTTCAGGATAAAGCACTATTACATAAGAATCCAACGACTCACTTTCACTGAGTCCTGCTTTGATAATAAGCGAATGTAAAGCTGGACTTACCCCGCCAGCGTTCCTGCATGAGTGAACAGCCACCGTCTCCACTTTCTCTAATCGCCCCCACTGTCTGAAAGTAAAGATGGCCGCTTTTTAACCAAACCAAACCCAAACAAACTGCAGGCTGAGCGGGGGGAGGAGGAGGAGGAGGAGGAGGAAGGCCCACACAGGGCAGTAGTTTCTAACTATACAGCCACCGCAGCTCCAGCGCCCCCTCACTTTCAGACCCCTGCGCCTCTGTTTAGGATCTAAGTCCATGAGAGGCCACGAGGCAGTTAAAAGTTGTTTTCTTGAGATCACAGCTTATTTTTCTTGGTGACATCCTGTATAAATAAAAATGATTAAGTCGCGGCCACGCCTTATTAACGCATGGGAACGAGATCCTAATGCGTGACCACGACTTGGGAAAGACGTGGGAATGAGATTATTAAGTCGTGGCCATGACTTAGTAAGGTGTGGGAACGAGATCACGGCTTACTAAGTCGTGGCCACGCATTAGGATCTCGTTCCCACGCTTTACTAAGTCGTGGTCACGCATTAGGATCTCGTTCCACAGACGCAGCACTGTGTCCACTCACTGTCCACTCTATGAGACACTCCTACCTTGTCAGTCCACCTTGTAGATGTAAAGTCAGAGACGATAGCTCATCTGCTGCTGCACAGTTTGTGTTGGTCATCCTCCAGTCCTTCAGCAGTGGTCACAGGACGCTGCCCACAGGACGCTGTTGGCTGGATGTTTTTGGTTGGTGGACTCCAGCAGCACTGCTGTATCTGATCCACTTGTACCAGCGCAACACACACTAAATAAAAATAATGTGTGGCCACGACTTAGTAAGGCGTGGGAATGAGATGATTAAGTTATGGCCACGCCTTATTAACGCATGGGAACGAGATCCTAATGCGTGACCGCGTCTTAGAAAGGCGTGGGAATGAGATTATTAAGTCGTGGCCATGACTTAGTAAGGTGTGGGAACGAGATCACGGCTTACTAAGTCGTGGCCACGCATTAGGATCTCGTTCCCACGCTTTACTAAGTCGTGGCCACAACTTAATCATCTCCTTCCCACGCTTACTAAGTCATGGCCACACATTATTTTTGTTTATACAGGATGTCACCAGCGGGGCTCCGTACTGCTGGTGACATCCCGTAGAGTGTGTCGCCATGCCATATTAACGCGTGGGAATGAGATCCTAATGCGTGGTCACGAACTAGTAAAGCATGGGAACAAGATAATTAAGTTGTGGCCATGACTTAGTAAGGCATGGGAATGAGATAATTAAGTTGTGGCCACAAGTCAGTAAGGCGTGAGTACGAGATCATGCCTTATTAAGTCATGGCCATGCGTTAGGATCTCATTCCCATGCCTTACTAAGTCATGGCCACAACTTAATTATCTTGTTCCCATGCTTTACTAAGTCTTGGCCACACCAGCTGGGCTGCATACCAACTAGCGTCCATGGGGTAGCAAAAAACTGCTTTTAGAAACGTACATCCTGCTGGTGGCGTCTCATATAAATAAAAATAATGCATGGCCACAACTTAGTAAGGTGTGAGAATGAGATAATTAAGCTTTGACCACAGCTTAAATGGCCAGAGCTCACCGGCAGGCCCAAAGTTTCCATACACACCTTTACAACCTAAGAATAGCTCTGCTGGTTTGCACTGAAGTCCCTGTAGTTACTGAATAATAAGACGTAGTGTGTAATAAGCCTGGGATTTTACGGGGTTAATAAGCCATTATCTTGTTCTTACTAAGTTGTGACCACGACTTAATTATCTGGTTCCCATTGCATTACTAAGTTGTGGCATTATTTGAAAATGAAAGCAGTGAAAATGAGTTTAAAATAAGAATAAACCTCAGAAAGTCGATGTTAGTGTACAGCCGCATGCAAACATCCGAACAGCCCTGGTCAAATCACGCCATGTTAGAGGACGTGTTCACTTATTCTCACGTAGAAAATCGACAACACGTCAATTTTTTTTTGTTCTAATCTTGAATCAACGATCAAAAAACTATGATAATTCTTCTTTTTTGATTTTTTATTTCAGTACTTTTTAGTCATTCAGTCAAGAAGAACAGCAGGTCAGACTTCAAAGATGTTGAAGTCTTATTCTTTATGCAAAACCTTAGTAAGATGTGGGAAAGAGATAATTGATGATCTCATTCCCACACCTTACTAAGTCATAGCTACGACTTAATTATCTTGTTCCCACACATGTTGTGGCCACACATTATTTTTACGTATACGGGATGTCACCAGCAGGGCAACATAATATTCTCCAACAGTTGTGCAGTTGTTTCCGTTTCATGGTAAGACCTGATAAAGAACACAACACACGTAATCTTCTAGTTCAGCTGAGACTATTTTACATCCATTTGAATGTTGGGAGCTTTTACAGCCTGAATGCAGCCTTTTAAGCTCACAGGTAAAGAACAACAGTGGCTCATTGTACCACTGCGCTGCCTAGTGGTGTCCCACAACTTTAAAGCTGTGAAAATGAGCTCAAAACAAGAATAAACCACTCAAAGCTGATGTTAGTGTAGTCGCATGCAAAAGTTTGAACACCCCAGTCAGATCACATGCTTTGTTGATTTTCTAAGTGTAATTTAGTTCACACAACCTTCAGAAAACACACTTAACTATGACTTTTTCCTGCTAATTTTAGTGCACAGTTTCTGTTTATTTACTGAGTTTAACATATTAGAAAAATAAATGTAAAATTTTAAATGTGCCATACCTTTTGCCACATTTTACTGTTTTATTTTTCTCCAATTTGTTAAATCAAGCAAATAAACAGTAATTGTGTATTAAATTGTGCAGAAGTGTGTTCTCTGTAGAGGACTTCTTTACACTTAGAAACACGTCATTGTTCTGTTTCTAAAACAGCCAAAAAAAACTATGATAATTCTTCTTATTTTGAACCTTTATTTTGGTGATTTTTAGTCATGTTGTGCAAGAAAAACAGCAGGTCACAGGAGAGACTTCAAAGACGCTGAAGTATTATTTCTATGTGAAACAACTCTTTCGATGCTTGTTTTTCAGATTAAGTTGTATGTATTTAAAAGTCCATTAACATTATTGTCTGTTCCATGTTAAAATTAATTTATATGAATATAATTTTTGATAATGAGTCTTGTTCACAGTGTATGTAAGCAGTGTCTGTCAGTGTTACAGAAACACAATGTTATTTAGTAAAAATCAGGAAGGTGTTTTTTGTATTTGATTTATTTCTTGTATGGGGATCTCAAAACAAGGAAATCTAACTGAGTCTGAGTGAAATTTCTCTGATAAATTTCTAAATTTATAATTCATAAATTTGACGGCTTCAGGTGTCACAAAACATTGTATCAGTGGTGTTACTCATGAAAAATGCAGCGATTTTGAAACTGAAATAACATAACATGACAGCAGTATTTACAGTTGTCCACTTTTAATGTGACTAACACTAAAGTCTTATAGAAAAACATAGATTTGAATCATTTTTGAGGCATTACAACTTTACTGATGTGGTTCATTATAACATACAGTACTAGATATTACACTTTACTTCGTACCCTATTTGCCACCCCAGCGCTAGTGACCCCACTATGCTGAAATTCGAGTGTTAGTGTGTTTCAGTGTTCATTCACAGTTTTTATGCTTGTACAAAACCATTTAAAACCTAAAACTGGATGCAGTTTTAAGCAGAAGCCTACAGGGAGTCATTTTTTGTGCTTTAGAAGCGCATTTCCCCCTAAAATAAACAATATAATCATTTTAAATGATTAGAAACACTTTTTTTTTAAAAGACAAATATTAGATGTTATAGGGCCCATATCATGATTTTTTTGCTTTTTATATAAAAGAGTTTGATATAACATTGTTACGATTTCACAACATACCTTTCACTCCCCAGTCCATACAGTTCATATTTGCACTTTAAAGCTGCAAAAACAGCCCCTTTGGAATTGTGATGTCACAAAAGTGTATTTACATATATCGCCCTATTCAGTTAACAGCAGTGCAGCCCCACTAACTGACACTGAAGTTATAGGAAGTGTTTCAGCCTGGACTGTTTTTTCAACAAGGCACAATACAGCACAGCCAATCAGAAAAGAGCTCATTTACATATGGCCTAAAGACAAAGTACCAAAAACAGCCTGTTTAATAATAAGCGATAAAGAAAGGTTGGAAAATAGTCATGTAAAATTGTAAAAATGTTATTTAAGGTTATTTTTGGTGCATCATAAGTGAAAAAATAAAATAATGGACCTTAAATGAATATTCCTGTCTTATAATAACCAGCAGGAGGAGGAAGACCTGCTTCTGTTGATCATTAGAGGAACTTGCTCAATGAATCACAGCAAAATCATCAGCCTAGCAGACAATCATTAGCTTACAATTAAAACAGCCCACTTTAATTACAGGCATACTGCCAGTAAGGGACAAACGAGCCATCAAAACTTCTGATCCTCGGTAAATCCAACACATTTTCATTAAATCTTTAAGCCTCTGTAATCTTTGCCATCATTTCAAGTCAAACATCTCTTGTTGACTTTACAGCTGATTTGTAGAGGAGATTTTATAGAACCAAATCCACATGTAGGCCTGCATTCTCATTTCTGTTTGTTGTCAATGCAAATTAGAAGGCTTTAGCACAGCGGTATGCAAACAGTGTTCGCTGCTTTCACAGACAGGAACCGAAGGGAAGGGGGTTAAACTCTCTTTTTAGTCTATTTTTAGTCTCCAGTGTTCCATTCATTTAGCATCACGCAAAGAACTCTTGATGACTGTGCTTTAAAGAACCGCGAGAGCGGAGAGGCGTTTAGGGTTCATGTTTATAAGTATGTATCAACAATATCTTTTCATTTATGTGCAGTGCAAAGATGCTAAATCTTAAATTAGACTTTAAATTACAGACCGCAGTCGAGTGCGCACTACTTATTTTCTCATTCTCTTTTTCCGTTTTTGATAAAGCGACCCGGTCTGATCTCCGTCTGCTTCGGCAGGAAGAAATCTGAGGGAGTAAATCATTTTTCTCATCACTGGCTGATTTATTAAATGCATAAAGTCATGTACAAAAATCCACCATCCATTTCTCACATTGGATTTCAACAGAGGCTTGATTTTTTATTCCTTTTTTGACACACCCTGA